CATTGCGCTTTCGAGCGTTAATTCTTTTTGCGCAGTGTTTCCCAACCGTCGTGTCGCGACGCGGGTGATTTTTTTCGGACGTGAAAAAAGATTTCCGCACGTTGGAAATTTCAAAATAATGTCAAGAGGAAGTAACGAAAACGAGAGTGAAATATTTTCCTATTTATCAAGGATTTTGTGCCAGCGCGTGTGAATGAGCATTACTTATCCCCCAGCCTAGCATTTATTACGGCGGGTTAACCGGGAGCGGAGCATTCCGCCCGTGGATTACACACGTTATCTTGAGTTATCGCTGTTTCTCACTGTTGCTCGGAGTTACCGCGCAAGTAATCTCAAAGCTGTCATCGTCATTAAACATTACAGTTTTTTTGTTTTTTTTTTATTTTTTTAAAGAGAAGCAGCATCATATATTTCCAAGCGGAGATTCGCAATCCTCCCCGCGAGTCTCTCTCAACGAGAGCTAAAATTTTTGCAATCCATAATCCGCTAAACGCCGCAGAGTTTGCAACCTCGTCGCAAAACTTCGTATTCGGGTATTCGCGGTGTCACGTCCTATACCGAGTCACGCCGTTTTCGTTTGGCCGCGTACACCTGGCGCGCCAGAAATATGATCGCGTGAATCAGACCGACCCTCGGACACTTCGGACACTTCAGTCGTTCACATATACACGTCGCGAATGCGGTACGATCGATATTAGCAATGGGTGCTTCCGTTGGACAGCCTCCCACACAATATATACAGTGCGGCACTCATTTTCTCTCTCTCTCTCTCTCTCTCTCTCAGCGCTCTTTGCAAACGCAAGCAAATTTGGTGGCATTTCCCGCGATGCTCTCTCCTTGATGTTATTAATTCTCCAACAGATGCTGACTGTCGGACGCGAAACTCGTCAAGGCGCCAGATATCGATCCTTAAAATATCGGCTGGATAACTCAGAGAAGTTTGGACGAGCGACGTATTCCGTAACGAATTTAGAAAATTTTTTCCTTTGCGAAAATTGGATGAGAAGCGTGTCGTTATCACAACTTTTCGTCGTTAGTAATTTTTTAACGTTAACAAGTTTTAAGTTTTTCCTAGCAAAAAAAAATTCAATCATAGTCGTTAAAGAGGTGATTTGAAGTTTACCTAAAATTTAGGAACGAGGTTTCGTTATCCTGCACTTACTCATGCAAGTACGACAGGATTGGAAATTGTTTAATTTTTGTATAATATTTATTAAAAATTTAATATTCAATAGCAAAATATATTTGTCTGTTTTACATAGAATTACATCGGTTGGCTTTAATTTTAGAGAATGATGAGATACCGTCGATCGAACATCGTATTAGTTCATCCTATGATGATGCTACTTACAATTCGTATTGCTCATCACGCGGTCGTGCCTGCGAACTTTGATTATTTCATACTTATACAATACATCACACATGCGCCGCGCACTTTGCACAATATTAGTCCGCCAACGCGGAATATTTCTGAGGCTTCCACTCGTCCTTGGAATTCAAATCATCGGACGGGCTTTGTCACTATCCATTCGTTCGCCACAGTAGCGATCCGCTGTCATTTGGACATTCAAACGGAAATTTTCTGTAGACGAAATTGCGTTTCGAATAATTTAATCCGCGCGTCGAAAGTGAGATATAATAAATTCTAATATTCTGTTAGTCGGAAGTTATTTATTCCGGTCTTGCAATGTAAATTACAACAATTTACAGTAATTCGTTGTGATGTTTTTCAATTTCTTTTATCACGTCGGAAAACTCTTCGTGATTCGTGAAAGCCTAAAAAAACATCGGTGCAATTGCGGGGTTAAAGAACGCCGTGTCACTGGAATCGCATGTCTTTTAGCGTAGCATACATTTGCGGATTCTGGTATTGCCGCGATCGCGTGTGGCCAGGAAATTCTGCGATGGGAACCAATCGACTTCCGGCTGACCGTGTGTGTGCAGATCGAAATTGAATTACGAGCGTCGCATCAGCGCGAACTTTCGTGGTCGAGTGCTCTGGAATTAAAGGGAACAGCGTGTTCCGCGATGTTTGTTCCGTATAAATTCATGCCTACGCACTGGGAACATCAAGTCAGTCAATATTTATGTAATGATAGTTTTTATTTTCTTTTCTCCGCTGTTTTTCTCATCATAGTTTGACACTACAATTCTACACATTAAATACAAAAGCTCGCAAGATTTGATCCCCGTATCCTCGATCGAATTATCTTGAATAATTATTAAGAAAAAAAATTCAAAGCTATATATTTTCAAGTAAAAACGAACTATATATTTTTAATTAAAAGAAGAACAAAGGTCTATAATTTAGGAGTGGTATATATTACTACATAGTTGGCAAATTGGTGGTTTGTACAATCGATTATTTTTCCGTGGTGAAGGAGGAGGTCATTGTCCCTCGCAGCTTGTAATCTTATTGAAATGCCACTTAAGTCCATTTGGAATCGTTATACTTCCGTTATTTATTCATCGACGCTATTCCCTTACTCTGCCTTATACTTGCAATACATTTAATATTTGTATTTATTCCAAATTATTAATTATTTTTTTAATTACAAGAAAGATTTTGGTATTTCCTTTTGCTTCAGCACATCTCTCGATACATTCCTCTGGCTCTGAATGCATCTCTGCTGTTTTATAAGACAATCGGCACGGTTTTTATTAACGCGGTCTCTCTCCGCCGTTGAATGAGTCAGACCAGTCGCCAAGAAAGGCGAGGGTTTGCCAACACAGCCGGTTACACGCACACGCGTGCACTGCCTGCGTGCACGGTCTACGGTTAATGCGTGTTAAGGTTTTTACCCGACCGCGTACGAAGCATCGAATCAGTTTATTTCGTAATTATCGATAATTGTAGCCTGGAACATTTCACGCCACCGGAAGCGTATCGATCATTCGCTTATCGCGGTCCGTGGCCGCTTATCTGCGCTCACCCTGAATGTGCATGTCTGCACCCCTCTGCCCTCGTTTCCTACGCGGTGCATAGCCGTCTAACATGTACGTTCTTCTCGCGAGATTTATTTTTATATCTCACAATTACAATTAACAATTAATCTCGATTGTATACAATAGAAAAAAGGAGTGGAATCTCATGCGACGTAATTTTTCGACGGATCGTTTTCAGCAGCTTCAACATCTAGCTTGTTTCCTGAAGAAGTTATTCGAGGTTGCGAAACGATTTCCGGCATTTTTAACAAATATAGACTCGTCAAGTTTCGATTCGACCTTCTCCAATTGATGGCTAATTCGTTACGTCATTGACGCGCGGGCGCGCGCGCGATTTCTGAATGGTTGCCATTGAGGTCTGCGGTAACGAAACACGTTTTGGTTCGTTAGCAAACTTACCGGCGGGCTGATTAATTCGCGAGAATTTCTGACACAATTGCCATAACGTGCTGCGCGAGTTTTTCTCTTTTTTTTTCTTTCTCACGGACGGCATCGCGAAACGCGGTCTCGCACGCATAACGCGCGGCACATAGATCGTCCTCGATCTGACGCAGGCCGCCGCCGCGAATTCCGCGAGAAATGTTCTGAAACGGGGGAACGAGAGGAACGCATATTCGCGTGTAACAGTTTTTACGCAGCGTGATCAGCGAAACGCGTCGTTGGAGTGCAATTGCATCATTACTTTGTTACGAGAACTAAATGGAGAACTTTGTTACGAGAATTAAAACACGGTGCAGCGGGAAGATGGCGATATTATATTCATATGAGGCATTTGATCTTTTACACCTTTAAATTAAACGAGAGCTTAAATCTGTTTTAAAGTTTACCTGCGAGCTCGTTAGCGAGCTTGGAGCGTATCTCGAATATATTTACGTCTTTTTGGAATATTCTTGTATATTAGGAGTTTATATTTTTGTGAGTTCTTACAGTATGTTTGAATATTAAAGAGGAACGAGGACTTTTATAAGGTTAGTTTGTTTCTCTTTTAACTTACCGCCGTCATGTAAAATTTAACGCTGCATTTCTGCAAAACAGTGCAGAACGCGAACTCAATTCACATTCTCAAGCTTCGACGCGCCACGGTACACCTATAATACGACTCGAGGTAATCGATGCGACGACGAAAACTCGTCGAGACTCGTATCGTTCCCGTCGTTCGGAAATGCACAAAGGCCTCTCTTCCGCTCGTTCGCAATTCGAAATGTCAATCGGCCGAGTTTGCGCCTAGCCGCGTAACGCGAGAGCGCTTGCTATTGTCCATATTTAAAGCGTCTCTGGCCTTCGCGACCTGAAATAAAAAAAATGGCATTGCACGTGCAGTCCGCTAATGATCGGGAAAACGCGCGCATTGACTGCGTCTCTTTTTGCGCGCGTTAGGAGAAAAAAAGCGGTTGCTATTTGTCGCGTGTGATTCAGCGCGAGCTCATTGCCGGACAAACGAGACTTCGATCCAGGCCTAATCGATGGATCTTTGAACAATTCTCTGAAAATTACAGTTTTATTTCGTATTATTTTGCGGAATATAACTGGACAGATAAATATTGAGGATTTCTAGTCTCAGAGAAATTTTGCTGATCTAAGACTAATTTTGGATTGATGGTTTTGATCTCTTCAGGGAAATGCAGATTCTCGCGAGAATGGCGGAGTGCTTGGATAACCAAGGCGTCATGCGTTTCTCTAATGCGCTCGTCCCGTCGCAATTTCTTCCATCCCGCGCATTAACGGGCATTCACGGACAACGCGCGTGTCTATTTTTGTCCGCGCTCTATTTCGGCCGCGGTATCTAGAGCTCGGTTAGAGCGACAGTGGACAGATAAGTAGCTGCACTTAAGACGCCTGCATCAGGCAGGCTGAGAGTAATGCGCCGCGCGCAACAGGACGCGCATGTTTGACTAGCAAGTGGGGCACGTTCGTCAATTACGACCCGCTCGACGGCGTTATTAATTGCATCGCGCCAAACGATGATAATAAGCGCGCGACGATCGCACGTCAAGTATAACACGACGAAGTGATTGTGTAGGGAGCGGAAGGGCGCGCAGGCAAGTAAAAAAAAAGGGAAAATATTCTCTCACGCATATCGATATTTCAGATATTAATATTATCTGTATCAGTCATGTTATCTTATTATTTATATTTTATTCTAAAATTAAATGGATAAATTTAGCGTGTTTTAGAAATTCTCAGATGAGTGTCCACGCGTGTAAAAGACGTCGTCTTCAAGACTTTCTAAAAAGGAAAGTTATTCTTCGTTTATAATAAAACGTTGATGTTGAAGCATATGTGCTGTCATAATTATGTACATTAGCGATTGTAATATTGATATATACAGTATAATTAATTTGTCGATTTTCGAAATGTTTTGCAATTTGAATTTTTAAAATACCGAATTCTTGAAACCGCAATTCTTGGAAATGTAGAAAATTCTTTCTTGGAATACAATCTCCTTAATTATATTCTAATAGTTCGTCACTTTTCGAGAGTTTAGATTTTTTCAGATTTTAAGATATTTTAGAAATTTTCTGAATCTTAATCATGATTCGTGAAAATTTTGGAATATATTTGAAATTTTAGACAACCTTTTTGGATATAATATTTTTTAAGTAAAACTATTGATTATCGCAATTCGAAATCCTTTGAAAATGATCCGAAACGTGCACTTTGCAACACATAGAAGTAACACAATTAGTGATAACTCCTACACTTTCGACGCGATGCGGTGCAACAAGTGGCTGACACGCATTCTGCGTATATAATCCCGCTGTGCAGAGAACGCCCGCACAAAAAATCTCCACGATATCCTCGACAGACGCGACAGGAGATATCGGAGTAAAAGGATCGATGACTAATTTCGTCGATGTATCCCGGTCACCGCATTTAATCTTATATCTAGATCTCTACGTTCTGACAAGTTATTGAAACGGAACGTGTGTTTGCTTTTAATTACATGTGTACGTACAAAGCAAAGCGAGTTTTATTAAATTTAAAACATTTTTTATACTTATATATTACAATTGATATGAAATTAAAAATTTTCTAATTTCAACGTCTTTTTTTCAGAATTTTTAATAATCATTTCTGTTTGCATGTATTTATACAATGAACTTGATGAAATTTCGTTCGCCGAAATTAAATTTGTGTAGAAGCTATGGTTTATCTTGTTGAGTATTTTGATTAAAGATTTTATTTATTTTACGTACGTGACTTATATTAGAGATATAAAATATTTCTATAATCTTCATTTAATTAATAGTATATATATTCACAAGAAAGTTTTCGCAAAATCGGACACACAATCTGACGCTTTCCCAGTGCCTAGTGGAAAATCCGATACGCAAGAATGCGTGCGTCACGCTGTTTAAGATACAAGATCCTTCCCCCCTCGTGTCTCCCTACCGCGTAGCTGATGATTAAAAAAAAAAAAGGTGCAGAGAGACTTGTATAGTCCTTGCCCGAAAGCGCACCGCGAGTCGTCGAGAACCGCACGCACGTGGGCGCCGCAGCCTTATAAGGACGTCCATAAGGAGCCTCTCTCAGCTCACCAAACCTCACCTTGCCTTATCTTATCTTACGTCATTTGCCGTCCCCGTCCGTCGAGTGCTCCAGTGTCTTGCATCCCCACGAAATCCATTCGCTCGCTCGCACGGCTCGCTCGCGCGCACTCCCGCGTGTAGCCCAAATTCCACTTTCCCTTGTTGCCACAGCGTTGCTACAGTTCTCTTCGCACATACACACGCTTGAAAAAAAAAAGCATACCGCTTTGTGGTTTCGAACTAAAAGATATGTAATACTTTATCTTTTTCTAATTTTTTTTAGTCTTTTCTACTGCATTCTTTTTTAGTGCCATATTTTTAATATAAATTGTTTTACATTTACACAAGGATTTTATCTAAGGTTTATATTGTCTCATGTGCCATCGAACTTCTAGATCCGTACTTTAATAACTTCGAAATTTTAATAAGCTTCCAATATTGAGAGCTTCGTTTCGCTTCCATTCACTTTAAGCCCCTCTCATTACGCTCATGATCTCTTAGAACACCCCGAAGAGGCAAGATAATCGGCGAGGCAAATTTGCGTTCCGCGTTACGTATATATTCATATTCTCAAGTTGTCGCCCACGAGATACCGCGGGTTTCGCGAAATGAAACTGGAACGAGTTGCGAGTCGCGATAGAAAGTAAATCGGAGCCGCCGGCCATACAATGGTATCGCACCGGCATCTCTTCCCGCCATTCTTCATCGCCGCGACCGAAGAGCAGGCGAAAAGGAGGTGGAGGAAGCGAAAACGTCAATCTGTCGTCGTTCACGGATGATTAAAGCTGTATAAAACCGTGCACGCTCGCGTGACACTCGCCGCCGCGGTAAATGGCAAAAGGCAGGCGTGTGTATCGATCTCTCGTTTGTATCAGCGCGCATCGATTTTCAGCGGAACTGCAATTTTACCGAACGGGAAATTCCCCGTAACGGAGTATACCGTCGACGCGAACCGGCTATCGCGAACGGATCTCGCTCGATTTTTCGCTGGGAGTTCAATCGATGTGCGGTTTTACTTATTATTTACTTTTTATCAAAGAGGCGCTTTTATTTTTAATTTTATTACGGTATTATTCAACCCTGTGACGGGAGGGGGGGGGGGGCAAAATTTAATGCGAGATTGAACTTCGTGATGCGCGCACTGAGCGTATATGTAGCGTTATTTTACGTACGAATAGCTTTTATCTGCCTGTATATAAAACGTCCTTTATTCGATCCAATGAGAATGGAAAATCATCCTGTGCGGATGAGACGCTTAAAGAAAATTGCCGGGGACATTGTAGCGATAGAATATACGCCAAAGATCGTTTGTCATCGATCACCGTACGTAACGCGAGAAGGACGACGCGTATTGGCGCTTCGCCAAGCCACGCTCGATTCGGCGCGTGTCTTTATCAGTTTTGCGAGGCAACGCTGGGGCATCGTACGAGAGCGCGGCGCAAGAAGTGCGCCTCCTCTATTATAGAGTGCGAAACTATTTTAAACGCAACACATATATCACGTTTCTCGAGCAACATTGTTGAAAGGTGCGATAATTGCCGCACAGTTATACGAGGCACCGTTCATCGTAGATAAACTTCTAATTACTACTATATGGGGGTGCTATCTGCGATTTGCCATCTTCCGCGCGAGTAATACTGTTACCTTACAGTTATTTTGCCTTTTTTTTTTGTACATAACATAAATAATTTTGACGATATCGCGGCTGCATTTTTAATGGATTTCTCTGGGTATTGGATTGCATAGATCCCAATTAGCATTTAATTGCAACTCGATTGGAAAGCAGATCTAATTGAAATGTGTAAATCTAGAGTATATAGTGTATAACGGCTCTCACGTGTCGTTTTCACGTGCACACGGGCATTTTTGAAATATGCAGGATGATATAATATCCGTACGCTTTTGCGGTTATAGAGCGTGCAAAGTCGTCGACATTTATCATATAGATAGATGTAAAATACAGATGTAAAATTGAATATAATCAAACATATCATTTGGTATTGCGATTTATATTAGACATTTTGTTATTGTGAAATCTTTATTGGGTTGAGCGGAAAGTTTGTTCCATTTTTTAAATATTAATTGTCATTTTTTAGCAAAAAACAGAACAAACTTTCTATTCAACCTAATATTAGCAAAGATTAAGTTAAATTCATTCCGAATTTTTATGTAAATGTCGATCTAATAGAGTCTCAAAACAAATTCTTAAAAGAAATTCTGAGAGAAAATCAATTTTTGTATCATTAATTTAGAAATTCATAAATTAAATTCTGTTTTACATCCTAACTTCTTCTGCAATTTAATTTATGCAAAACGGTTGTTAATGTACTGACTCATCGCGAAGATTAAGACTTGCTGATTTGTTTGCTGATAGCCGCACGATTCCAAGTTATAATTATGTTTATAAGTGTGAAATTACGGAACGATCTACCTATATCTCGATCCATGGAAGACTCAATTTGCCTTCCTCCTCCTGCTCTTCCTTATTGGTGTCCCTTTGTAGCAACGGTGTCTACGCAGGCGTGCGTATATCAGTGTGGCACATACATATGCAATGTTCCGGGGCCACGTTACCTAGCCCAACCTCGCCGAGCAGTGTAGCCCAGCTGTTCCAAGTGCTGGTGCCGTTAGCAACCTAGCTGTAGAACCTCGTATTCGAGCCCCGGGCCTCGGCTGGTCGGTAACAAGCAGCCCGGAGTTCTCCTCTGCGGAAAGTGGCGGTCTTTCGTGCCGTCGTCGGGAACTAAAGAACGACTACGTCGTTTTCTTTCCTTCCACCCACACGCGACTACATTGGTACCGTCTGCGCGCCGTGAATGCCTCGACACGAAATCGCACTAACTCCCGGTGTACACCAGAGATGCATCGTGCCCAGATACCCGTGTATCGTGACAGTTGTTCGAGAAAATGGCGTTGTTGCAAAACGGCTAATCTGAGAGCTTGGCAGCTTTATTCGACACGAGAGTATAACAAGATAACAGATTATGTGATTGATGAAAAAGTGATTCTGGATTTTCATTCTGGATTTTTCATTTAATTTCACATATACTTTAGATTTACGTCGGATTTAATTTAATGTTGACATTTATGTGTTATGGAAAATTTCGTTAAAAAAAAAAACAAGATTATAAAATAACTAATAGGTTACGTGATTAATAAAAGTGACTCCGGATTTAAATTGTACTTAATTTCACGTTAATTTTAGACTTAAATTTAATTCAATGCATTATGGAAAATCTCGTTGAAAAAAAAACAAGAATGATAAATATAAATTATTACTGATTTTCTCTTTTAGTTTATGTTGATTTATGCAGCATCAATTAGACTTCACGCTATTTTAGGAACTTGAGCTATTTTATTCTAAACACTTATTTCTTCAAAATGTCTACTGTTTCATTGGTCTCGTATGTTCATTCTCTCGTTTTGCTTTTCACTCGCATATACGTGTTTTCGCACGCTCGCCCACTCGTTCGTTCGTTCGTTCGTTCACTCGCTCGTTCGCACGCTGGACTCTCATTACACATCATGGGTTAATGAATCAATTTTCTACACTGTTTTCTGTACTCAGCATGATGGGCTACAGTCGGTCCCCAGTTGCTTCTTGCGTTCACGATCGCAAAAATCCCGAGACGATGGATGACGATTAGGAATGCAGCCCGATGCTTCATTGTGCGGAAGCCATTAATACTTTACGTGCGCGAAATACACATCACATAGGGTGTATATCGATTTCAGTGTAATTTTATAATTTATGCAGTAACCGAGAGGCATATTCACCGCGTGAATATGACAGAGAGATGAAATACGGGAATTAATCTTTATATCTCAAAAATACGAAACTTTGATTTAAAATAATTAGTTATTCTTGTTAATTATTTAGCTACTTCTCTATCGACAGCTTCGCTATTTATTCTTTCTCCAGCTTGCATTCCTAATTTCTCGTTAGAAACTCCTTAGGTCCATTTCTATCAATGATATATTAACTTTAATCTCGATTTTATTTACTTTGTACCTTTTTCCAACTCTTGGAGCTAGAAGGAGATAAAAAGTAGGTTAAACTGAGATTAATGTTAATCTACATTGATAGAAACGGACGTTAATCTCTCATATATGTGAAGGTTACTTTCGATGGCAAAGCGATCGTCAGTTTTCTTAGTTTAGTTTCTAATCATAGCGCCGCAAATTTACTTGTTGCTTTCCATTTTCATTTCACTTGGCAGTCTCGCGAAGAGATTGATCGCGATCAACAGTATCGATACACAGGCACGGCATCGTACACATGTACAGACCTCGCATGCAGATTATTTCTCTCTAGAATCTCTGCTTTTGTGTAACGATATAATGTAACGTCCTCCGCGCACGCTTTATACATACGACGGATCTGCGACGCAGGAAGCCGCTGCTTAAATTTAATGTTCAATAGACCGTGCGGCTGGCTGGACCCCCGAACCCGGGCGTTTTAATGCCTCGTTGAATCGAGATGCGAACGAAATGCATTTGAATGGAAATCGGAACGGCGACGCGTGCCGATCGCGTCGTCAGCTCTGCTATTATTCTCCCGTCTCGACTTTGATCCTGCATTATGCATGGAAATCACAGCTTACTGCGCTAGAAAACAGGTAGTTAATTAACCTCAGGATCGTATCAGGATCACTGTTTGAATAAGTTAAAACTGTCATGATTAAGTTAAAGCTTTTTCGAAAGAATCACGAATTTTTAACGTATATATATATATATATATATAATCCTATATTTTTAAACCTTTTTAAAAATAATTATTGAGTTAGAGAATGTAATTTTATTTTACATAACCACAATGTTAAAAAGTCGCTTAAATGATGTAATTAAAGGTGTTTTTCTTAAAATGGCGTGAGGAGGAAGAAAATATTTATGATGATCGTACCTGTCGAAGGGGACACGGTGCGTTTCCGCACGGTCGTCTGCATGTGTAGGGAAGGCTCGACTTCCGAGTGTACTGTAAATAAATATGGGCTGGTACCGTGTGGTCACGCACCAAGAGCTTCGAGTCGCATATCGCGAGCGTTAGATAAACCAGCTGGTGTCACATACATCCGCATAGAAGATCGCATAGGCGATCGATCAAGCGGCTCGAGATATATTTCTCCTTCGAAGCTGGGAATCTGTTCAATATTTTCTGCAGCCTTGAAATAATATTTGTCGTATGAAATTGCCTGCGAATTGCATAGGATTAAATTTTTTGAAAATAAATTCCAGCATAAAGTACTGACATAAAGTTGACGAACAACTAATGCAGTAAAATTAATTTTTGCAAATTTAATTATAATTTTTTATATAATATTTGATAAAAATCTTAAATTTCTTGTCAAACATTAATTTTTTTAAATTATAATTAAAACATTCAAGATAATTGTCGACAAAGAAAAATTATCTTCAAATTCATCAAAGAGTGCATAGGGTCGGTAAACGCATTTTTGTGATCTCCATTTCCTACTTATCAAGTTGGGAATATCAGTTGCGAAAATTCGCACAGTACTGTCTAATCGTTGACGAGGTGCCGTTAAATGCTTCTTATTATCGTCCGTGCTGCTGCAATCGACGATACAAATCGGCCGCGGCGTCAGTTCACCTTCGACCACCGCGCGGTTTGCTCGATTCCGCGCGACTCCGCGGCTGGCTTTAGGCAATCTCTCATCCTGAAATAGCCCCTGAATTATTTCCCGCATAAACGCTCGGAGACTGTTCTGTATCGATTCCTCGAGTGACATTCGTGCCACGAGTCGTGCCGCAAAAAAAGAAAAAAAAGGAAATTACGCGTCGTCGATCGTGACATTAACCTTCACAATACCGACCACGCATATGTGAAGTTCAAATCAATATCTGAAATAAACGCGTGACAGTTTTCTTATAAATTGGTTATAATTGAATATTTTTTTAGCCAGCATCACGTGCGAGGCGGATTTTTTTCTGGTTTTGCGATACAACGATACCTACAGTATTTTTCTAATTTTACGACCTTGAACACTTAATATATTTTTTTTCAATCTGGTACACGGATTCCGGCACCGCCGGCGATGTTTCTTTCTGGTCGGATAACTCGCGTACACGTCTCGTCGGGGCGGAATCAGGCGGAATCGGTATCGTGACCGATAGCGCATAACGTCCGAGCTCATCGAGGCGGGCCGAGAAATTGTTTATATGGTAGGGGCCCCGGCACCGGGCGAAATTACTCGCTCTGGGAGTCATAATGAATGCGTTTATGAAACGCTGCTCGGTGAACGTTGCCAGTCGATCGAGCCGCGTCGCGCGATACGCTGATACGCTGATACATCGCGGATGCGTCGTCGCCGATTTTCTCGATGGCGCTCCACCCAATTTGCGAACGCGCGAACTTTTGGTGCGACGTTTTAATTGTCCCGCCCTAGTTTCGCTCTATTAACTACTTCGCCGCGTTACACGCTTCGTAACGACCGTGCCCGGTTGTCTGCCGAGTTACACGTGCGACGAAAGATGAAGTCTATAAAGCTTCGCGGAGTTAAGAAAATGAAGTTAAAATCGCGCTGCACTAAGAGGGATTTAAAGAAGAAATCTGATCTGAATTTATATATAACGGAAAATGCAAATTCTTCCGCAATTAATAACTTTTAAATAATAAATCTCATTTATATAATAAAATATAATAAAATAAAATACCTACAATTAAAAGTTATAGTTTATTTTATCAGTAAAAAGATATAATAAATTGAAAGGACGATATTTTTTTAAAAATAAATTTTATGGATTGTGTACTAAGGATTACTTAAGAGTTAATTTTTTTTATATTCGCATGTCATTTATATAGGTATTTTATTATTCGTAAACTTGTAAATTGGACATACCGAGCATTTCTCATGTAAATGCGTTTATTCTTGGATCCCAGTGTTCGCTACGGCGAATATGCTCCCGAAGGATAATCCGCAATCGCGTCGCGCGCTCGAAGGCAGTGAAAAAAAAGACGATCTTTGGAGCCTAAAAGCCTATCTTCGCTTTTTTTGGACAGAGTGCCACACGAGGAATTTCACGAATTTTCGTCGCGGCGTCGCGCGCGTGGCGGGCATCGGCCGGGATTAAACCTGCACGTTCCTGAAGAGGTTCCCGACGAGAATCGATCGGCGCGAGTCGTCTACAGTCCTCCGTTGCCTTCGATTCGACGATATACTTTCAGTGTGATACCTTTCCCGCGAAAATATACGGCGATAAGAATATATCCAAGTTCGAGCGAATTGTCACGGTTGATGAAGTGGTGCGAGAGCGTCGTGGTCAATCTTTTCATTGACTTCAACAGCGTAAATGGAGCAAGAGCTGGTTACTCTGGGACATTATTACCAGATAGCTATAACAGTATAATCTGCGAGAATTCGTGAGAAAAGCGCAAGAATCGTATCGGAGTTAACGCATCGTGAGAGAGACGCAGGAATTAAATGCGAATTACTACATCGGAATTTGTGGAATTATTATTGATGATGAGATAACATAGACATTGTAATTTTTCTTGCACGGAAGTTTATTGTAAATTTAATCAAAGACAAATTATAAAACGCGCGTTGAGAATAAATTTATTTATAAAGAATCGTTGCGGAAGACAAATTATAAGTAATAAATATGTGTAAATATATGTCATAATAATTAACTTATAACGTCAAGGAAGTTTCTGCTGATGATAAGATAGCTTAAATCTTCCTTTCGAAATCTAATCTTTTTCCATCGCCGTAAATTCAATATGGGTTGGTTATCCCTTTGCGTCTGTGGCACAAAGCGCGAGTCCAACGACAGGAAGACCAAGAAGGACGGAACCAAGCGCAAGAAGAATAAGAAATGTAAAAAGAATCCCAAGCAGAAGGGATCTTGCAAAGCGCCGCCGTTCATCGTCGACGAGTTCTTGCAGCGCAAATCGCAGGACGAACAGCCGAAAGAAATCGCGGAAAAGGAATGGACGAACGGGGAAATTGTTAATTACCTCAATGATTGCGCGAAAAGTCGGATTGGCTCGACTGATCAAACCGATCCATTGAAAGTCAACGGTTCGTCGTCTTGTCGAAACGGCGACGATTGTGGGAGCTCCGAGAGGTCTCTCGACTCTCTCGAGAACGCGGAGAGAAACGCGGAAGAATCCGCTCGAGAATCATGTGATATCGATTATTACGACAATGCGGTGCTGCATTCGTGGTGCGCCTCGAGCACGGCGGACGAAAACGAGGAGCGAGTCAAGTGCACCTTGGATGAGAGGGAACACGATGAAGAGGCGGATCCGGACGGATCCGTTCCGAGATCGTTCGGCGAGCCCGAAGATTCGTCCTGGACGTCGGAAGTCGAGGACAGGCAGGACGCGGCGCTGGACTCGAGCTGCGACAGGAAGCGCGGCGAAAGAGTTTCGTCCAGAATTAATTTCTCCAACGAGAAGCAAGGAAAGTCGAAGGCGAGAGACGTTCCGACGAAGAAAGGGACCAGGAACGTTCTTCCGCCGATCAAAGGAAGACCCCGCGCCGAGGCTTGCATGGATGATGAGGAAGTGCAAGCCCACGGCGAGACGAATAAATTTGGTTTCAAGAGAGCCGCGGCGGCGTCTCGCGAGCGGAACGAGGTTCGGCGGAAATTGAACTCGTGCAGCTTCGAGGTTCGACCGTACGAGAATGAAGAACGGGGCGGGAAAGAAAGAGGCGGCGGAAGAGCGACGAAGATTCGGGGCGAGGGGTCCATGATACCCAGACTCGCGTCCCCGCTGCGGCCGGGAACGCATTCGGTCAGGAACGACAGCGATAAATCAGAGCTCGTGGAAAACGGTATATCGTTGCGCGAAAAAAAGAAATTATATGTGCAGTGCACAGGATATTTTGATAAAGAAAAATTAGAAATATCATCTGTCAACCTTAGTCTTGGAAATAATTTTCAATAACTTCAAATAACTTAGGAAATATTGATTTTATGAAAAAATGACCTACCATTTTTTCAACTTGGCTGTATCATCTGTCAACCTTGGTCTTGGAAATAATTTTTGATAACTTCAAATAACTTAGGAAATATTGATTTTATGAAAAAATGACCTACCATTTTTTCAACTTGGCTGTATCATCTGTCAACTTTGGTCTTGGAAATAATTTTTGATAACTTTAAATAACTTAGGAAATATTGATTTTATGAAAAAATGACCTACCATTTTTTCAACTTGGCATCATTATTGCCGCATTAAATGAAATAATATGAAGTAATTATGTAATTTACTCTTGTAATTTACTTGCTTTAAATCTAACTTGTTATTATGCATCATGGTAATCATGTTTATTTGAAATATAAGCTTTGTAGAGAAGAGAAGACGGGGGCTTTGTTAGGTACTTTAATTTTAGAACGACGAATTCGCGTGTACTTGTTACACTTGCTACACGCAATCATTATAACCGCATTACTGCAATCCTTTATATGTATTGCAATATACAATTTTTGTTTCAGGTCGCGTTCACTCGGCAGTCGTCTCCGGTATCAATTTGGAGCAGCGCACCGTAACTGTAGAATGGTTCGAGAGAGGAGAAACCAAAGGCAAAGAGGTAAGCGCCGCGCTCGTAAATTATTCTGAGCAATTTATAATTACTCAGAAACAGAGGGAATTGCAAGTTTGGATTAAGTAAAAGCTACTTTTGAAAATTAAGTGAAATTAACTGATAAACATAAATAACACTTATATCATCAAAAAAAGGATAATATATTACATTCATTACTACAGTATTTTTTAATTTTTAACTATTATATTTACATTAAACAGAATGCGTGTAGAATTGTAAAATCCTGTGTTAAAATAATTCGGAAGTATATTTTCTTAATTGTGACTTTCACATTTTCGCAGAATTTGCTAAAAAAAAGTCGGTATAGTTGCATGTTTCGCTTCCTACGCATGTTTCGTTTTCTTGAACACACGTGTCTTTATCTGACACGTTTATGGAAAGTAATTGCGACTACGATCAACTTTCTCGCTCGCGAGTCTCGCCGCCGTTGATCCGCAATATTTCATTTCCGCACATCCGTAGGTCACGGTTATTTGGCTATTTTCAATTCCGCAATGCTTATGCAATGCCACGGGGCTTAACGTGTGGCCCGTTAAATGGGGGCGCGAATCTATTTCCGACAGACCTGCAAGTCCGCAGATTTACAGTCAGTCAAGCTGGCTCGGTCGAACGTGACTTTTGCAAAAAGTCGCGCGATATATACAAGTATCAGTACTCGTGAGAATTTCTGATCGTAAACGAAGTGTTGTGTGACTTTACGATTTTACGTTTTTTTTTTTTTTTGCGGTTAGTCACGAATTCCGACAACTTTGTTTAACATTTTATAGACAAAATGTTGAATTCAAGATAATAAACCCGTAAACTATCCGACCTGTGTTAATGCTGGAACTTTTTTCGGAGAGTTATTAATTTTTTCATAATTTTACGTGCTAATCGTGGAATTAATTTCGTGCAAGATTTGTATTAGTATACGTAAATGACTCAACAAAGTTTTATTCCACGCCGAAAGGTAATTTATCAATGTTAAGAATGTTAACATTGAATGGAATGTTAAGATGTATTATCCTGATTTAATCCTGAAATAAATTTTGCTTATTTTTATACATTGCATAATCCATTAACTTAATTGGTTTCAAATAGCAACTAGTAATCTTTACACCATTTCTATCTCGAAATTGATTGTGTATTAAGTGATTAAAAGATACAATTCAAGACAAAATTTAGATTTATAATATATATATATTTTTTTTTCAGGTGGAAATCGACGCGATTCTCGCCTTGAATCGCGATTTGAACCAAAAGATGGGACCACGAAACGAGGCTATATGTGCGCTACCGCAGGTGATGAACAATCACATGCTGGCGTCCTCGAGAGCAAGGGTACGTATAGTTCAATTGATTCTTCTCAACGCGCATGATTAAAACGTCGAACGGTGCGTTCTAGGCCATTGTCAGTCATGGATTAAATTTCGGAAGGTGCGAAAACTGTCGCTCCTCCACATTCTGTTTACCTCAGCTCTCGAAGAGATCTCCTGAAAGTGAAATTAGCGCACTTATAGAGACACATTAAGAAATTAATGACATGAGATAACGAAAATACCGAGATCTTAATTTTCTCTTTAAATTAACCTTTTAATTTAAATTTATGGACAGGTTTTAGATTGCAGAGAAATTACTTATCCGTCCGATAGACCATAAATAGCACCGCTATGTTAGATAAGCTAATAACTCTCGCGAAAGTCTCTCGCGAGGTTGATTCGTGAATGACGCGGCGCGCGCGCGCGCGCGCGCGCCACTTTGCGACTGGAACTCCGCGCGCGGGCCTCAAACGCCGTAAGTTCGCGGTCGATCATCGACTACCTCGGCGGAATTCTGTTTACTGGTTGCCCGGGCTACGTGAAATAACCTCGCTCCTAATATGGAAAGAATAATCCGATCCCGCGTCTCGTGGCGTTTACACCGCGGTAGGCATGTTCCAGTACCTGTACGTCTTTCAGGTAGGAGTCCCTGTCATTCGTAATTGGTCCACCGCAAGCCTTCGAGTCTGACGTGACGATGACACGGAGCCTGATCTCGTCAGGCCTCCGGCTTCCCCGTCACGTGGAGCCCGCGTCTAAGATAAACAATTGCGACTCCCGCTGCGAAATTTGCATCGTGCGTTCGTTGCTTCTTTCACTCTCGTAGAGTTAGACGAAGGCTTCTTGAGGTAGCTCCTGAGTTTCTGTCCTAAAACAGCTCGTAGACATTTTGATTGCGTAGTCTTAACTTTCCTTGTTAGTAACACTTGCGCCAATGCGATAATCACTATGGATCATATATATACGTGTATATATGCTGCATAATATATCGCCGAAAACCGTGTATTTTCTGTAGCAATTTTTAAACTATCGAAAATTCAAAAGTTTACTTTGAATTTATCAAAATTAATTTTTTTGGAATAACTCGCTTTTGTATTTTTAAACGAAAAAAAAAAAAATATTTATGAAGCTTGAAATAAGAAAAGTATATATATATATATATTTTTTTTTATTCTGTCACTTTTCAACCTTTATTTAACTTCGCCTCTAAGATATATATATATATATATATATACATATATCTTAGAGGCGAAGTTAAATAAAGGTTGAAAAGTGACAGAATAGGATTCGGGGACTCCAGGATCTAAACAATCCATGGGCTCGAGCGTCCAGAATCCCGGGTTCGTAACTTTAGAACAACGTGAATTTCCTCAAGAGATTCTCGAGCCCGTACAAATGCGTCGATCGCGACAAAAGCCAAAGAGTCTGGCGCGTCATTCTCTCGCAACTAACATGGTAACATCTTTTTTTTTCCTCCATGGACGCTGCTCATAATCACGGATCTCGTGTCGACGATGGACCACCGACCGCCTACCCTCCGGGCCTCGATAACAAATCGATCGCGAATCACGAAAACTCAAACGTCGTCTCGGCGGCGGCATCGCCCATCCGCAAAAATTCTGCCGTCTTTCTTGACGACTCTCCCCCTCATCGATCCCCTCGGTCGGGCTCCGTGCGATCGATCGGTGTTATCGTTCGATTGATTTACATGCCACACACATATACACACACACTGGCCATGACCGCGATCTGCGCGTCAAGGAGCCGGACTCCTCGGGCGAGGAGGACGAGGGGGTCGACGAGTCGGAGAACCAAGAGGAGGGCTCTCTCGGACGCCATGGTGGTCACACCACGAGAAACGGCCTCGCATCCGCAACGCTTCCTGTACGAGTCACATCTCGTCTCTCGGTAACGCGCACCACCTTCCCTCTCCTCCCCATTACCGCAACAAACTACAACCGCAATGCACAATTCTTTCTCCTCTCACAGCAGCGACAGTCCTTGTCGAACTGACCTTAGCATCTTCGTTCGCTTTTACGATTTTATGGATATCTCGCGAGGCTTATTACTTGAATCATAGTGAATCATGAGGGACGATATAAGGGAGATATGGTGCATAAATCAATCTTTGGAAAAATTATTTAACTTTGCAAAAGATGACGTTTTATGATTACTGTCTATTAAAATCAATATACATATGTGTCTCTTGTATCGAATGAGAGAATGATGTATCGTAATTTTATGGTGTTTTATATGTCATAAACGTTTGATGCTAATGGAAAATATGACGAAATTTATTACATTGTGACGCGAGACGATATTGAAAGATATATGTGAAGTTAAATAATTACCTGTAACGTAATTTGTGAACATTGAATTCTCTCTAATTGAGCGTAACACATTAGACTGATTACTCACCATCATTGTCAAGCTTGCATGCTTGAGATTAAATAATTGTCTTGAAATATGATTTGAAATATGACCGATAAAAATTACGTTTGAAAAGATTTTTCGACGTTCCCGACGATCTGCATGAAATTTCGTGTTGAAAGCCTTTCTCCGTGGCAGATGCTAAAAGAACATTCACAGCCTTGCACCATCTCTCTATCACGAGAACGAAAACGTCGGCTTTTCCCAAAACACCCATCCACCAGAGCACCGCTAGTCGCTAATGTTTCTTTTCACCCTTTTCGCACTCGCTTGAATTCGACTTGATCTCGACAGGGTGGGATATCCCGGCGAGTAGCTGGCTGGCAACTCAGTGGATATCCACTTGGTGGACAATCAGCGAGAAGAACTCGCCGCACGGCATTCTTTCATTTTCACGGAAATTGCTTAGTTTCGTGAGAACGGAATGGAAGATCGCGCGGCGCGATTGCCCCACACCGTGACTGGGTCAAAAACCGTGTCGTTACGTTACGACGATCGATATGTAAGAGGAACGCGCGGGGTGTCGCGATTAACGGGGCGATCGATGTAAACCGTTTCTTATCTCTCGCGCGTCCCGAACGCGTGATCTGGCGGAATGATATCGGCAACAAGATGTATCATACACCCGGCTTCGAAGGAAGCACCGTTTTACTTTATTTATTTTCATTTGCAGCACTTCCTAGATTGTAAGTCGGCAAACACCCCCCTCTTCGTTGCACGAAGAAACACCTCCTTAATTTAATATGGCTGAACGTAATCTGTCTTCTTTATTTTCAGCACTCCACCCGGCCGTCTATTCCAGTGAAAGGTACGTTAAAGCCACACGAGGATTCATTCGATCCTTCCCTATATCCTTCCCGTTACACTTTGTTAAAGTTAAAGCGACATGGTTGTCGCGATGAAATCGTGACGTTTTACAGTAAACTCCGCGCGGGTCCTACAACGACGTCTGTATTTTCGTAGCTCAGAAAAATTTCTTTCGCGAAATAAATTCTTGGCCGTTTTAATTGCGACGTAAAAGCGTGTTTTAATTATTACCGTTAAATAAAACGGGTAAAAGGAAATCTAAACCAGACTAATTGCATGCCTTTTTACACATCACTTCATCAATCTTTGTTCGGGAGACTGGCGAACGCGGGACGAATTTCCATGCGCTTCCCGATTCCACGCGCCGATAAGCGATGGATGACTGTCGAACTTTCGGCGTTCGATAAGTCAATTTCGTGGCCGGGTTTCGAGGGCCGCGTGTGCGCGTCGTCGTCTTTTCATTCGGACCAAGTAGCCAAGTAGCGACGAGCCTTCCTTCGCTTGCACGTGTGTACGGGCCGAGCCGTGACTATCGATATTCGTGCGCCGTATGTATGCAAGACAGGCGGCACAAGGGCAAGGACCCCGACGGAACCTACAGTACGGCGTGTATAAGACCAAGCCGAGGGGGTGTACCTCGCTGTGCTGACCCTCCCTCGGGCACTGTTCGATCACCAACCTCGCCCGGCAGTGCGCACCACCCCGGTGGCACGTCGCTCTCGGCTCTCGCCTCTCGCGAACGGACACGGGAGCGGTTCCTAAAGGGTCGAAGAGACTTGGCGTATGCCGGTGTCGGCCATGAGATTCGACCCGCTCGCCTATTGCTTCCGGAGGAAAAATAAAATCCGCAGCAGCGAAAATACGGACGTCGCCGGCGATGACAGTCAGGTCCTGACGCTTCGAATCGTGGACGATGACGCCGGTAATGCGTGCGATGGATCTCAGTGTTTGCAGATTCTGGTGTTGTCTGATTAATCGATCGAGCGGAAACGTGTGCCTGATTGTGTGCCGCGATTTTTTTATTTCGAGATAAGCGTAATCAAAGAGAGTGACTGTAAAAGTCATTTCGAGGGTCTCGACGAAGTGCAATTGCGTTTAAAATTTAACTTTTTTTTTGTAATTTTTTCTTATTAACATCAGAAACGTAGCTTTTCCTTCCACTGATATTAGAAAAAAATAATTATCAGATTCGAGGTGTCAGCGTGAAAAGGACTGAGCGGGAAGCAGAATAAGTCACGCGATATCCAAAGACATGATTTATGTTTCCCGTATGATTTTAATCTTAACGAAGTCGGTTTGATAAGTCAAGGGTAAGAAGGAGGACAGTGCGGGCGCCACTAATCCTCGTACCAATGTTTCAGCGGGTTCGAATAGGCAATTGTCACGACCAACGGGTCGACCGACGAACATAATGTCGTCGACCACGTCGGTGAACGGTCACGGCGAATCGGTTTCCGGCCTCACCGGACGCCGGGAACTCGAGAATATACCGCCGACACCGACGACGACCGTCACGCAATGCAACCTGATGACCCCGGTGAACAGACAGCAGAAGCAGACGCCGCAGCAGCAACAGCAACAGCAGCAGCAGCAGCAGCAGCAGCAGCAGCTGCAGCAACAACAGTCCCAGATAGAGAACGGCCGGGGTAGGCGATCCAATGTCGTCAAGGAGGTCGAGAGACTGAAGAAGAACAGGGAAGAGAGGAGGCAACGACAAGCAGAATTGAAGGAGGAGAAGGAAGCGCTGATGAATCTGGATCCAGGCAATCCGAATTGGGAGTTCCTTGCCATGATAAGGTTGGTACTGGCGCTCTCGTATTTTCTGCCCTTAAAATATATAAAATTTAATATACGTTAGTTAAGAGTTACATACTAGGGCTTTGAAGATTCGAAGCTTCGGCATTAAAATCTTCGAATTCTTTCGAAGCTTCGAATATTTGAAGTGAGTAAAAAGTAACAGCCCTATAATACATACCTCGATATAAATATTGCATTGATTTTTGTGGAATATTATAGTTTAAGTTGAGATAATATGTTTTGTGATTTATAGGAGATATATCAACTGATATATTAACTGTATCATTTATATATATTTTATTTATCCACTTGCAGAGAATACCAAAACAGCATAGAATTTAGGCCGCTGCGGGAGACTGACGCCGTGGAGGATCATCAGATCACTGTGTGCGTGAGGAAACGTCCACTCAACAAGAAGGAGCACGTGCGCAAGGAGATTGACGTGATCAGCGTGCCCAGCAAGGATCAGATGGTGGTGCACGAGCCCAAGTCCAAAGTCGATCTCACGAAGTATCTCGAGAACCAGATCTTCAGATTCGATTACGCGTTCGATGAGACGTGTAACAACGAGATCGTCTACAAGTACACGGCCAAGCCGTTGGTGCAGACGATCTTCGAGGGTGGCATGGCCACGTGCTTCGCGTACGGTCAGACTGGCAGCGGCAAGACCCATACAATGGGCGGCGACTTCAACGGCAAAACGCAGGACTGCAAGAAGGGCATCTACGCCATGGTTGCCAAAGACGTGTTCAAATGCCTCAAACTGGCCAAGTATCGGCCCCTGAATCTGGTCATTTCCGCTAGCTTCTTCGAGATCTACTCTGGCAAGGTGTTCGATCTTTTGGCGGACAAGGAGAAACTGCGAGTTCTGGAGGACGGCAAGCAGCAGGTTCGCTTTATGTTGATATAAAAAAATTTTAATTAAACCTTATTGCATTAGATAATTGTTGTTAAAGTGTCAATTACATATTTGATAAAAATTTTAATTGGACCTTATTGCATTAGATAATTGTTATCAAAGTGTCAATTACCTATTTGATATTGCACATTTATTTTTAATTTATTTTCACATATATTGGCTACCTTTTATTATGCATCAATAGATTACTAAATCAATTATTCGCGGTGATTCAGTTCAGCTCCATATAATTAATATCCCGAAATTTTCCTCGTGTCATAATAGGTGCAAATAGTCGGATTAACGGAGAAGGTGGTGGAGACTTGCGACGAAGTGTTGAAGCTAATACAGCACGGGAACAGTGCCAGAACGAGCGGTCAGACGAGCGCTAATTCTAATTCTTCGAGATCGCACGCGGTCTTTCAAATAATAGCGCGCATTCCGGGCACGCATAAGGTGCACGGAAAGTTTTCGCTCATCGATCTTGCTGGTAATGAAAGGGGTGCTGACACTTCGTCCGCTAATAGGCAAACTCGTGAGTAAATGTATAATCAATTCTAAACAACATCAACTATAATATGGCGCTAATAGTGATTATATATAATAAAATCTATATCTGGTTAGCTTTCTGAAGTAACTAACTGTTCCTTATTGAAATTTTCAGGAATGGAAGGTGCCGAGATCAATAAATCTCTATTAGCATTAAAAGAATGTATACGCGCGTTAAGCCGTAAGGGCACGCATCTGCCTTTTAGAGCAAGCAAACTGACTCAAGTATTAAGGGACAGTTTTATCGGTGAAAAATCAAAAACATGCATGGTAAATAATTGTTTCATAATTATCATAAGGAATAAGAATACCAAAATAAAGATTCTAACAAATGTTATTCGTTTACAGATAGCGATGATTAGTCCCGGGATGAGTTCCTGCGAGCATTCCCTAAACACGTTGAGATACGCGGATCGAGTGAAGGAATTGGCAGCGACCGATCCTACGGAAATAAAAGCCTCGCCGACGGACGACGATCGGGGTATGAAGATCGAGGAGCAGGGGAACAACAGCGTGTTATCGGATAGCGATTTAGCGCAGCTACGATCTCTCAATGTAAGCGACTATTTACAGACATAAAAAAAAAAACATGTTATAAATTTTCACAGGTATTTAAATTGAAACGAATAATGACACGATTAACGTTGAAAAACCATTTTGTGTTTAATGCTGATTTCTACCAACATAGATTAACTTGAATCTCGGTTTAACTTAGTTTTTATCCTCTTCTAATTCTAAGAATTTAGAAAAAGATAGAGAATAAATTAAACTAAGATTAAAGTTAATCTATAAAGGTAGAAATGGACCTAAGGACAATAAAAATAGGATAATTATTTTTGCACGAATAATTTTCTTCTTCACAGGAAGGTGAACTTTCGCAAGATCTGTACACTTTTCACGAGGCAGTATCAGCTCTGCAACTGCTCGAGGAGGAAGTGTTGGATACGCACAAACTGGTCATGGATAACACGACTAAATTCCTTAACGACGCGCACAGTGTGTTCAGCGCGACTCACGAGGTGGATTACGATCAAGAAGGTAAGGCAAATTCTTCTTTTTGTTTGCACATATGTATTTACGTCGTTTTATTGGCTTTCCGTTTGACTGCTTTAATTTCTTACACTGCGTTGTGTGCTGAATGGTGCACTTCCGTTGAGGAGAACGAAATAAACAATTTCGCGTTTCTTTCGTGTGTCATCATGCGGAAGCATATCTTTCTTTTCGATCAAGAAAATCAGTTTTCGAATACGAAAAATTGATATTAGTCAATGGGGCTCTCTTAACGTCAGATTGCTTGTGAAAATTTTCGTGGTAAAAATTCACAGACATCATGTGGCGATAAGTAACGAAAACCCTCTTAAGTGGCGATTCGTGTCGCTTTCGTTGAGATATTCGGCCATTAACTTGTAGTAAAGACTTAAAGAAGTACGAAACGTTTTGTACTTGCCCGGTATCACAGTGGTATCGCATTTTATGACAGATACGCGCAGTAAGACTAAGGCAAATTCGATCGTCACGTTAAACCGCCACCGGAGAAGCAGCAGCTCGACAAACATGACGCTAATGATAAGCGACGACACAGACAGCGACACGCAGACTTTAAACACAGCGGGAGTAGATACGAATTCGTTGATGTCTCCCTGGAAGGATGAGATGGAGCGCAGAAGCGATTTCAGTTCGAACGACACCGAGGAGGACTCAAATGTGCCTCCTCGCACGCCTAACAGGCCAATTATCACGAGAAGAAGTATGACGACCGGTCGAATTGCTAGAAAAATTCAATTAATAAAGGCACGCCCGTGACAGGACGTTCTATTCAAAGATACAATCAGCGCGTCAGAGTGTCCACTTTTGGCAAAAAGAAGCCTCAGAAGTATCACTGGTCCGGTACATTCCGTGGTAAAACGAGCCCTAAAGACGCAAGTCGTAATCTGTATTATTCACTTCGCGAGGATAAACCGCGCGACACGGAAGGTCAACTGACGAATTACAATTGTTACCGCGAGGACTTCGCGAGAAAGAAACCTGCGAGTAAGGGAGATATCTTCTACCCGAACAAATTCGATCCGCAAACCGTCGACGATTCGTGGAACGAGTGGATCGACGACAGCGTTGGCTGTCAGTCTTGGCCTTGCATCGACATTTGTATTGACAGTTTTGAGGGACGTAACAATTTTAAAGGCTACGATACCGATCAAGATAACGGCGCATTTTCTGACGTTAATATAAACTTAGGAAGAAAGATAACGGATGTGGGCGATAAGGATAAGAACACGCGCGGTGTTGACTTGCGTGCAAGCAACGGCATTGTTTTATACTCTCAACTTGACGATATCAGTAATATTAACAAGGAAGACAATCTTTGCAACGACAAAGTGTTTGTCGATCCGTCGATTAATGTCAAGTCAGATATGAGAAAGGCAATTAACGATGGGGAGAAATCTGCTGTTCGATTAGATTTCTATAAAATTTGGCATTCTCTGATATCTTTCCTCAAAAACGTTATTTTATTTTCGCTGTTGCCAGCAGCGTATATTATCTTTTTTATTTACGTACAAGAGAAAGAACAAAAAACAGGGTAGCATAATTAGACTAAAGTATAATGATTTTAATTTTAGGTTTTATATCGTTATTTTTTATTGATTTACGCTTAGAATAGACTAGTTACATAACAAATTATATTTTTTATGTTTATTTTCGTATGTTATTGGTGTAAAAAATTTGCCCATAATAAAATGCTATTACACAATTTTAATTTTTTAATGTAATTTTAAACGAAAATGCATTTCTTCGAGTTTTGAGCACTTGGCTGTATGCACGTTTGAAATGTTACGTGTACTAATTCTATGTGTGCCATAGTGATGTTGTGTTAAATGTATTTTGATTTTGCAACCGCATTTCTTGCGCAACACTCGTCACTTATCCTGTGAACTATGTAGTTTATACTTTAAGATTTTTTTTAATTTTAAAACAGCATTTTTTAAACAAATGACATCCACTATAATATATGTATACGAAATTTGTATAAATATGTATAAACCACAATTATAGACCACGTATTTTAAATCACAATTAGTATTTTATTAGCTTTTAACAAAAAAAATGGCTGGTCATAGTTCCGATTACAATTACAGTATAAAATAGAATATTTTTAGGTGCCTATACTTGTACACTTTATATAAAAATCACTTTGCATTGTATATCTGTAGAAGAAATTTAATGTAATACCAGAAAACGTTACAGATTTGAGGCGGAAAAGAACAAAGTTTGAGTCACCCTACCTGAGGAGTTTCTCGTTGCGTAGACATCTTATAGAGAGAAAACTATTTTCCGACGGTACGACAATATTATTCGATTAACAATTCTATAAAATAGTTTCAGAGAAACAGCTTGTTTTAATGTGCACCATATGTATACTAATGATACGCGTCACATTATTCTTTCATCTCGGTATCACACGCATTTCAATCAAATATATCCTCAAAAATAATATTTTTTAGCAATTTGGAAATTTTGTGACGTCAGAAATGGATTTTCTTCTCGTCTGCTTTTAAAAATTTTTAATCGGATTATCACCGTATATTGCGGCACTGTTTAACGAAGCATTAAAGTCGTTCAGTTATTAAGACAATTGAATCATTTGATCTTCTTTAACTGTGTCTATTATAAGTTTAAGTATAGATATATTTGAAAAACAGCAAATTTTTTCAAGCCGGGCTTATTGTTTCAATATTTAACTGAAGCTGTGCGAATAACTGGATACAAATTGTCATACAGATGTTTTTCCAGCAAGATTTTACAATATAAATACATCATACTTTACATATTTTTTTTAAAACGCAAACAGATATCCTGGGAGGGTAAACTCAACATTTTTCTTTTCTTTTATTGCTGTTATTTTGTATAGTATTGTTGTATTTTGTTAAATATAATGAATTATTAAGTAATTTTGTACATATGAGTGTGCTGTAGAAATTAAATTTGAATGATATGAAATTAACAGTGTTATATATAAAATATGATATCAGTATGTATATTTTGGAAGCGTGAACGCCTTATTTCACGTATGTATCGCGAACCGAATCCTCGTTAATAAATGTTATTTTTGTGGATTAAGCTAATGGCAATGTCATGCTAAGGATAATTACACGTACCCACATAAGAAAACTACTCAATGAGTCTGGCTTGTGTGCTCAGCTTAAGCTTCAATTTGTGTAGCGATATCGTTGTTTAACTATATTTATATACACGTTTCACATTTTATAAATAATGTTCACAACTTAATTCTGTAACTTCAGGCGCTTTTAGACTGACTTATAAACAGCTATAAATGAGGTATTAATATACAAACTCATTAATTTTTATAATTATGCTTCATGCAAAAATAGCTTCTATTTATAACTTAAGTAAACTCGGAAGTAAGTTAGATTTAAGCTTAGATATTAATTTCAAATTACTAATCGTTTTAACATTGTAACTCTTGTTTTTTGTGGGTTTCATTGCCACACATGTTTATTTTTGCTGAAGTATTAAGACGTCACTAAAAAAACTTGTTACAAAAAAAGCTCAATACGTCGCCAACTGGACGAACTAAAAGACAGCAATGAAACTCTATGACAAATATATGTGCGTCAGTTGACCACGCTTTAAGAAGATGTTGTAAAGCTAAATACGACGCTCGAATAAAGCAGGGGAAATAGCTAGCCGGCGTTTCACTCTTGCAAAAAAACGTCATCTCTATGTATATCCGATTTAATCCGTAACTTTAAACCGCTAAGCCGTTGTGTCTAATCCATGCTCTTGGGTGCTCTGACGGGTGTGCGTGTTGTCTGTTGCAGCATATGCCCAAAAGTGGGAGCAGCTGTTATTACAGCAACGTGACATTCTGAACGCCGCGCTCGACCAAGTCAGCCAGTTCCGCGGGCAGCTGTTGCAGGAGGAGCAAATCAGCCAGAAGATGACCCGAACGCGCAACATCACAACGCGGTACAATTAAGGACGTTTTACCCCCTCTCTAGCGAACGCGGAAAAAAAGACACAAAAATGTAATTGTTCTCTCACCGGTGGAAAAAGAAAACAGCTTCTTATGTGTGTATCAATTTATAATTACAAAAAGCGCGCGCGCGAAAAGCAGATATGCCATGACACTAGTGCGACAGTTCATAGGAGAACACAAAAAAAATGTAACAAAACAAAAACTTCGTCTTGCCTTCGAAATTGCTGCGAAAAAATATATATGTATGTTGTCGAGGTAGAGCGAGAGGAGCTCGACTCATATAAATCTCACCTTGTATCATATTAACGATTCTTCTCTCTGTAGCAAAATGACAGAATAGGAAGAGAAAATTCTGCAGGAAGGGAATACGTAAAGCCGGAATAATACGGCAGGCATAATAACAAATAATTGCTTAAGGATTCACCAGCGAAAAATTAACATTTGTTTTTTACCGTATTAAATTTTACGTTGGTCTCGGTGGGAGTCGGCGAAGAACTTTTTTTTTTTAGCCAAGATTTCTTTCTAGTGCCTCTCTTTTAGCTCGGAATCGTTGAGGAAATTTTAAGCAAGATACGCGAAATCGCTCGCGAATTTTTGGCTCGGGAATCAAGTTCCGTCAGTACGTGATTGCATATCTTTCGAAACGAGTTCTTGCCGTGTGCTCTACATGTGTTTTCGGGCCGCACCGAGACAGAGTGAAATTTTTACGCCGTCAACGACAACACATCGATATTACTATTCGATTGTACCATTTGTCCGTCTCTGAGACACAGAGCACCCGTCGCGAATGATAAATAATGCGTAATACGCCGTCAGATAAACACTCGTCTTTTTTTTTTTTAGGCTGTAGAATGCTAGGTGTATTATTACGAGGGACCCAGTGTATTATTAAATAAAGAGAAAAAAAGCCTTAGTGAGCCGATTTGCCAGAGAAGAAAAAAAAAGCAGAGATATATTATATATGTCACTTGGCGATACTTTGTACACGCTCGTTTCACACATGCATACATACACAAGTGCATACATACACACGCGTAACGATCGATTCTTTCGTAAACCAAATAACGACTGATTTCGAGAGGATGAAAGAAAAAAAAAACGATGTAACTCGTGTAGAGGGAGACATCACCCAGCGGCGCTCATCCGGATATTTAAGTTTCTTAGTATTAATATCGTCGACGGCATCAAACGGTCCTCTCTTTTTTTTTCTTACGTTATTAAAAGTATGAGATTAAAATCTTCATTTGATTTATCACGCATAAAACTCCTGTGTTTTCTTTCTCACTCTACTGAATCGCAAATACACTCTCGCGGAGCGGTCTCAGCGTGCGCGCGCGCAATTGCTTCGCAAATTTCACTACGGATACGTCCAACGGAATACCGTCGATTTTTATCGTTATAGTCGCTGCGATGAAGTTAAACGTTGCCCCTAACAATCATAATATTTCCTTTAGCCAAAGGAGTTCGAATCTTCGTAAGATATAACGCAATGGATTCTTATCCTATCCCGTTTCTGATTCCCTAAGATACGTCGCAACAATCGATTCCAATATGATGCTAATATTATAATATTATGTATTTGGAATTAATATGAAATCAGCATCCTTTGGACGAAAATATAGAGCTCCTTCAATGAATCGTAGGAAGCAGAGCTAGGGTTCACAATCAGTGTTCAGCATTCGTGTAAATTAAGAAACGCAACAAATTATGTTTAACATTTTTTAAAATATTCTTTACTGTCGGTCCATACATACGTGTTCTCAATATTCGTTCTAACGGTCTAAAATATTTACCATGGCTTGTTATTCGTGCGGGCCGACCAAGTTTTGTCTCATCACGATTTGTTGAGGATCATACATCGCATTACAATGCCAATCGCAAGGAAATATATCGCGCACTGCAGTCACACTAGACAATAGAGAATTAAGAAGATTAATATAATGCGTATCGCACGTCACACAACTTTATCTCTTTTGAAAAGATTTTATCCCAGATTCCTGTGTAAGCGTAAAAAAATCCTCGTGCGTCTCGCAAGTTTAACAATCATTAACCACGTATACGCTCGATTTTTGTAAATGTATAGAGAGCCGCGTTCTAATTACGACTCGAGGGTGGTTAATCTCGGTCTTAGAGGTAAATTAACAAAGTAACAATAACACACGCGGATAGATGAGAGTAACTGAGCATTGACGTTTCTGTGTTGACAAGATTTACGATTTTTTATATAAATATATAAAATACTCATAGAGCGCGCGCGGAGTAAAGAAATTGTTTGAGATTACTGTTGTATCAAACGACGAGAAGACACGCATGCCGCCGAGGGGACATCCTCTAATTTAATTTAGCAGCTCGATACTCATCGGGTATATATTATCGGGAACTGTGACCACTGTGTGAGTAATGGAGTCACGCTTGACTTGTCGAAGAAAAAAAAAACATCATTTCACGCCACATATCCAGTGTTTTCCGATGGTTGCTAAATATGTGTCGCCTTGATTAACAAACGCTAAAAACGAGGCAGTTCGCGGCTGCTGCTGCTAAGTTCAGGCATACGATATTTCCCCACCGTCGAGAAGATTTAGCTTTTCTTTAGGATCGCGAAAAAAATACTCGCCGTTTCCACCACCTCGAATATATAGTATTTTTTAATAAATAGTGGCGCGATAGGGAGAGATACGAGGCTTAGTGATCGAAAGATGTTAATATACTTCTTATTTTTTTATAATCGTATAATTTATGCGGAAGACGAGTAAATCAAATATACGACACGTACCCCTCCTTCCCCCCGTCCCTCCCCTAATTATATGTCGTACTTAATAGTCGACCTCTGAAACTATTCTAATTCGATGTGCACAGAAAATTTTTGGATACGTATGAGAGGTTTCACGTTGTTGCTTTATGAATGAAATAAATCAGATTGGAAAACGAATATTCAGTTACGTTCCTCATCCTTGACCAGTGTATCTCAAGATTAACAAAAAAAATAGAGTAAAATATGCGAAATTAGTTTTACAAAACTTATGTAGTAAAAATGCATGTATACTTAAATTCTGATTTTTTACATCCTCGTTGATTTTTACGCTTAGATATCTCTATGCACATAGAGATATCGAAACTCTGTTAGATTTATTTTGCTAGTCAGACCTTACTTTGACTTTGATGCGACGCAGATTGGAAAACGAATATTCAGTTACGTTCCTCATCCTTGACCAGTGTATCTCAAGATTAAAAAAAAAAAAGAATAAAATATGCGAAATTAGTTTTACAGAACTTAGTGTAGTAAAACTGCATGTGCACTTAATTCTGATCTTCAACACCGTCGTTGATTTTCACGCTTAGGTACTCTATGCACGGATATCGAAACTCCTGTTAGATTATTCTGCTAGTCGGACCTTTGACGATGCGACGCAATGAAGGGATCCAGGATGGGTCGTCAAATCGCGAAGCGAGTACAGGCGAGTTCGTATTCAATATATACAGATATACACAGGTAGGTAATTAATTTTATTTCGTACTTGGTAGAGCTGCACAAGACAACGATTACCAGAAATGCATGCGTAGACAGCACAGGTGAGGGCGCGTAAACGTGTCCGAGCGGTTAATCTCTTTTGCATAGCGAACGGATACACATAGCTGACCACGAAGAATTTATCCTAGGAAATTCCCGGCGTCGCACGCTATCCTCTGCCGGGCTATCTAAAAAAAATTTTCGCCGAGCAACGACGACGAGGATCTTTCACGGTACACGCTTATACGATCGATGCTGCGTCGCTCGACGTGTTTCGCAAACATTTCGCTCCTCCTTTCCGTGGTAACAAAGTATACGCGCTCTGTACACGCAGATCTGTTCAACTAAGCCAACCATTTACGCTAGGTAGTTTTTTTTCATTAGGAGCCTAATTTCTCTTACCGTGTAACATGTCACACATATATATATTTATACATATATATATATATATATATATATATATATATATAACACAAAGATTTTTCCTCTGCTATCTCTTCACACTACGTCATATACATAATACATACACACATACATCGCACTTACCGCGTTGTACGCACGTATGTACGGACTAAAGTAAACCATTCTGTACATAAAATGTCTTTTTCACCATAAAGAAAAAAAGAAGAAAGTGCGAAATGTTAATGTACTACACGCCGGTGCTTGGTAGGGCGCGTTAACGCGCGCGCGCGTCAACTCCATATAGCCTTACAATAACTACGTCCTCTATTTTCTCGTGGAGGTGGCGGCTGTAGAAAGGAGATAGAGGAAAACTCGCGTGCCCATACGTCTCGTCGCGCTGATAGTCAGTGCGAACGCACGACGCAGCCACATGAGCGTTTAGAGAAATTGGCGCAAAGGGGGGAAAGGAAAGAAAAGAAAAAAAAAACCGCGATTATCTTCTCTCTAATGGTACAATAACGTGGAATGGATTCCGAAGAGATGTGCTCTCGACACACGACTAAACGAGATTTAATATTATTTACAGTCACTGAAACGTGCGGAATATATCGCGAGCCCGTTTCCAAATCGCACCTTCAATCGCTCATCTATTTATTCTTCACGGCCTTTACATTAATAGACGGCTTTTCTATAAAAGGAACCGAGCGCTTCTATGTCAGAATCGGACGAGTCGAACGTCTGGAGCATTCTTCCATCTAAAATTGATCTATATATAAATATATATATATATATATAATGTAATATATATATAATGTGTAACTGAGGTTTACAGAATAAGAAAAATGTATATTACGCATTAATGTATCAGGAAACATAATAGGAACATGTTCACATTTATACATTTAAAACGACAAGAGCCGGTACTCTCTGTATCGCGGTATCTCGTTGCAGATGCGCTCAGTTCTTTCTATATATAATTTCCAAGGCACGAGAAAACTTTCCTGTCCAAGGTAGCTTGATTATTCAAAACTTGATTCACATCGCGCGACTGTAATCATTAGACAAATAAGACTCGATATCAGGCACAACTACGTCTGATTAATACATAGCTATACGTGTGACGTACATTGCAGTTGTGTGCGGCATTGCGATGCAAAACGCAGAGCTGTACATATTTATATTACACGCGAACAACTGAAGAGGATTCTTTGTACAATTTTCTTCTCTTCCATCGAATGGGAAAATTTCTGTGCACTTTCGGATACACATTCCATTTTACCCCCCTCCCCCCCACCCTCACGTTTCCGCTATTATACATTTTAAAAAATTGCATATATCGCTTATATATAACTACGTAATATAAAAAGGCAGCCAAGGCACAAACTTGGGCGGCGCGCAACAAAGTACAGTGTTCCGTCGATCCTTGAGAGCGTTTACATTCGAAGTCGCGGACTTCGCCGAAGGAGAAGAAAACGCCTCGTTTTGAAGATCAGGCTCAAAGGCTCAGGCAAGATTCGTTTTGCAAACGGGCTCCGCGACCGATCTATAACGATTCAGTTAGCAAGGAAAAACGAAGACATGGTGATAACGTGAAATATAAGCTACAAGTATAATCTCGCGTATGAGAAACTATCCATGTACACGTATACATCTTATAGTAATGCATCGCGCTCGACGTTTCGATTTCGAACGTGACAGAGCTCAACGTGCTGAAGATTTCGCAAGACCATTTTTCTAATCGATTTCGCTATTCATCAATGCAGATTACAATCTATAAGAGATCCCTAATTCGTGTACATCTCTCGATGAAAAATACCAGGCAAAATCGGATCACATCTTGCAGAAAGGAACCAAATTCGAAGAAAGATTCAAAAACATGCCATAAACATTTTTTTTCTTACTTACATTTACAATTTTAATATCTTCTAATATAGAATACTGATCGGTTCCTTCGTACAAAATTCGATCGGATTAGTTACCATTTTATCCTTAAAACCTTTTTTTTTTATCATACCACAATTATCAAACAATAAGTTTTCCTCAGAATGTGCTGAAAATATTTTACATTTTATCCCTTTTTTTTTTGTAGTCATCGATTATTGTCTCCATCACTTGTGCAATTAGCGCAATTGTACGACATTATGCAGTATCGAATAAACATTCTGTCGAAGTTTACGTTTGTACCAAACATCCTGTTTCAATTGTATTCAATTACAAGTTACATCTTATTCCTTCTTTATCACTTAATCAAGCAAACAGCTTCTTCACTACTTTCTTTACTACTTTTTTTTTTCATTTATCGTGGAAAAAATTAATACATGCTATTAGCCAAAATGAGTAGCTTTGTTCCCCTTCGTACTTTCTTCAGTTTATCACCGAATTGCAAATTCGCCAAATTGAATAGCAAAGAATCACAGCTAGGCACACATCGGCAAAACTAGTGACAGCAAATGGCAGTGAAACAAGATGGTATTGTCTATATAAGTTAGGCACTGTTAATATCTGACGGCATTTAAGACAGATTCGTAGAATCGATGTACTTTCGAGATACTTGATTTAAGGCTTTGGGAACGATTAGATTAGATACAATGAAAAGAATTGCATTTCTCTGATGAAATATCACAGTGCGTAAATTAAACATATTATGCGAATATTTCATTATTCTTTTTTTTTTGGCACCTTTCGTAATGTAAAAAAAGTAACAAACGTAATATCAAGCTTAACTCCGATCGATTGGTAAACGTAACTTTTTTTTTTAGTCAAGCAATATAAACTTACTAATAGATGACTTTTTTTTCTCATTACACACACACATACAGACGCACTCACATACTTGTATATACGTGTGTACAATTCCCATTGCAGAAATATGTACAGCACATAAAATTTCATATATATATATATTTTTTTTTAACACATAAAACTTACCTAATCGTGTACTGTTCTTAGGAATTGTAATACGGAAAGCGTCGAGTCGCATGTTGCACAATACGATAATTCGAGAAGAGTACAATGCAATGTAATGTACGTAGAGATGGGGCAAGCCATGAATCGTAGATCTTTCTATAGATTAGTGAGTTTTCTGTTGCTTCAATATATATCATCGGACGCAGTTAACTTTTCCGACCAGTCAACGTGAGATCAACGTCCAATGTCTTACATTAAAATATAGATCGCATCGTTATTCATCAATAAAATCCCGCCTTTATAAGTCATCTAACGACGAATTTGAGTAAATCTATGTAGACGTAAATGTACCTCAAAGCACACACGTAACTTAACAGACATAATCTCATTAGATTATGCTTAAATTCAAACGACAAAAGAATATCTTTCCCTTTCGCCTCCCATAATTCAGAAAACTTACTTTCTCCATTACTTTCTTTTTCTTGCTAAGCAATTATAATTGTATATTTACTTTTTTTTTCCATCACAATAAATCTTAAAATTGTATAAGGCTTCAATTAAAAGGATTTTGTTTGCGGCACGACACTGACAAATATCTTTTTCAAAGTGTCCATATAAAATAAAGTATTAGGCTGATGCATAGATTTGAAAAATATTTCTTTTTATATATATATATGTGTGTATATATATGTATACCATCATTACTCTAAATATATATAATTCTGTCCTTATATAACAGCCAAAGAGTTTTACAGCGTCTAAGAGTGTACGTTCCGCGATCACGATCAACTCCCAGAGGCCTTCTTTAAATATTTTTCTTTCGCGCAACTTCCCGTAAGTTATACTTACTATATTTTTATATATATATTTTTTCAAACATTATACATCTCTCGTTCATTTCATTATCATTTTTCTTCGTAAGATATTTTAATGTAGGTATAATATATAGGGCAACTTACTTATTGTATTTCGTCTGTGCACAGTCTCCGTAACTCTCACATGTGTGGCAAATATAGCCTACATTTGAACTCTTTTTGTAAAAGTGCATCGAGACTAATTGTCCTTCTCTCTTAAAACAAATCTCTGTGATGCGTGCGTATTACTTATGACACAGAACTTATGGCGTTGTGAGGCGGACCCATCTGCGTTAACACCTTGTCTAACCATTGCAAAGGCCCATGCAAATGCGCCTCGATCCAGCAGGGAGTCGATGTGACATCCTGCCTATGGTACTCCGCGCCCCATCCCTTCACGAAAGACATTCTGGCAACAAAGGTGGCAAATGTAGTTTTATTACTAAAATATCTCTTATAACGAAAATATCGGGAATTAAATTACCTAATCGTACACATCTTCGTTAACTCGTAGACAGCTTCGAAACCGTGGTTCACGCTTTGCGACAGAAGCTGGGCAAATTCCTGATTGTTGAATATCTTCAACGAGCATCCCGGTGGAATTTTGCAGACTGTACTGGGATGAAAGCCGTGGTGGTGATTGCAATTCCTAGATTGTACAAATATCGCAGAGTCCGAGAGGCATTCAGCATAAACCTCTCCCCCGACGTAGTATAGATGCACACCCTTGCCTATGTGCCGCCTCGTGTTCTCTATCGTAGAATTTCGATTCACGTTGGACAGCTGCCCGAGGCAGAAGCGATCCGAGTTGTTGCTCGGATTTGTAAAGCCGTCGATGATCACGGAGTGCGTCTGACAATGGAACACCTCGCCCACTCGACAGTTTAGCTCGTAATAGGCGATCGAGGCCCAGCAAGGTGGCTCCTGGTAACATACAGGTGTGGCTGTCTCGATTGACGTGCTCGTGTCCATCGGGACCGAGTCCGACGACGTGGTCTGGCCGGTCTGAGAGCCGTCCTCGGGCGGCGAATACGCCGGCGGCGGTGTCTCCGGTAGGCCGTTGGTGCCGTACGGGCTCTGGGGATTCAGCAGATTCGTGCTGCCTGGACTGGGCACGGAGCCGACGGAGGACATGGGCGACGTCGGATTGACGCCGCTCGTGGAACCGGCGTTGAAGCCGCTGGACGTGTAGGACACGTTGTGCGGCATGCCCGGATCGGCCAGTTGCTGGAACGGCAACAGAGAATGGCCGGGAGCGTATTCCGAGTGTCGCGGTACCAGGACGGGCGGCAAGACCGGGCTCTCCACCCTCTTGTAGTGGTAGGGATTGATGCAGACCTCCTTCTGCTTGGCGGAAAACGGATACTGACACAGGTCCAGCGGCTTCAACTCGTGATGCGATTGCAGATCCGGCCAGCGCCAGACTCTGCAGTATATCACGTGCGGCAGGCCCTTGCGATGCGACACCTGCAGCCTGCCGTCCAAGCTTCGAGGGATCGTCACGCATTTACTCGGCGTCCCGGGGCAGCTCAGCGCTCGCTCCAGCTCCTCGATCGCGCCCTTGCGCTTCTTCAGCTTCTTCACCAACGAGTCAACCGCCTTCTCGGCCCATTTCTCCTCCTCGTCACCCTGCTTCCAGCCGAGCAGTTTCTTCACAGCCGGACTGGTGAACGAAAACAGGCTGTTCAACGAGGACATAGGTCCAGAGCTTGAAGCACCTTCTTCGTCATCCATGTTTAAGAGGTGATGTATCAATTAGGAGTGGATACGCATATTCTCGCCCATAAAGCCTTCTTCTTCAGCAATCTGAAATCATAGTGATATTTTTCCAATTTTGCGATGAAGTTTGAAAAGTCGAATAATTCTATCTTACATGTACTGTTAATTTTGAAACTATAGATTCATTTATTTCCTTCCTCAAATTTCTAAAAAAAAAAGTAAATTTTTGTAAGAGCAAATCTTTATTTTAAATTTCAACAAAATCTATTCTCAAATTACAAATTATATACATAATATATTTTCTAAAGAACGTAAAGTTTCTTTAGAAAATGTCATATTTAATAAAAATATATGTATTTGTATAATGATATATTAACTCGTCTATCCCATTTCTATTTCGACTGTAAACCATCTTAATCTCCGATAACGATTAAACTCTTTTTCAGAAGTCTTTTTCTATTGTACCAGGTGACACAATGATACACAAAGCGTGAATTCATTCGATCACCAATCCGAATTTTTGCGATGCTATTTTTATAGGAATGCGAGTTTTGGCATGTCTCCTACCACCGCTCTTACGTCGATTCGCCGAAAAAAAAAAAAAGCAAAATCCCATAAATATCGCAACTTTATCACGAATCTTCCGACACTTCGAGATCGGACACCTTGCGAGATACTTCAAACAGACGGAGCGCAAAGATTATGAGTCGCAATAACAGAAATTTCATTTATTCGAACTGAACATCAATAACTTGTCGACTTCGAAGAAACGTAATATGATTCACTCCACTTCCCGCCTTCGTCACACACTCTCATTTTGGTAACGTTGCACACGTCAGTGAACCGTGAGTGGAGTTTTGCGGGCGTGGACGACGCGTTTTTCAAACACAAGGGGCAAGCCGGTGGTCCTGGTTAACCGCGCGCCGCGCGCGCGGAGCGAGCGCTCCCCGTCGAACGTATCTCGCGAGAGGAGAGGAGAGTGAAAGAGAGGAGAGAGAGAAAAAAAGGGGGAAGGAAAAAGAGAGAAGAACCTGACGCGCCGGAAGCGCGCGCCGAGGCTACACCCTTCCCCGAATCGGCGTTACTCCGGCCGCGATACACACGCGCGTCTCCCCCGCTCGCAACGCTCCACTCGTTCGCTCGCGGCGCGGAGCGTGGACTCCCTTCAAGCGATATTCAACATGATTGTTTTTACCACTGTCTCCCACTCTCGCCGCCTATCGTCCATCGACGCCACGCTCTCGCCATTACGATCTCTCGCCCAGCGCAAAAACCGCTCGCCGGAGGGTTTTATCGATTGCGCCGTTCGACTGCTGCCTCTCGGGCGGGCTAGCTGGCTGGCCGGCCCGAACCGAACGCGCGCGCGGGGATCGCCGCACACCACAGGCCACGGCCGCGACGGCGGGCGATTCCGCGAATTACGACGGCGACGCGCGACGTCAGGGAATCGATCCCGAATCAATCTCGCACCGCGGCGCACCGCCGTCCCGCGTCGCTGCGCCTGCGATCTCTCGCCGTTGCCATTCTGGCGACGTTCGAGGGGCGCCACAACTACTGCCACTGCTGACGACCGTCGCGCGCTGCGGACGACGACGACGGCGGCGGCGGCGACGACGGAGGAGGAACGCGGACGAACGAGACGCAACTTCGATTCCCCGAAACTCTCCGAGAGCGGATTCACGAAGGCGTAACGCAACACCCCGTTCCACGAAACGCGCGAACGACTGGATCGACTCCCGTCGTCAGCTTCGCGATACTGATGCTGCACACACATACACACACACACGCAAACAAATATACATAACGTCGCACGCGGCGAAACCAGACGACCAATGTTTACTCGGCTCGGATCACGTCGAGCGGCGCGCGCGCTTAGGGCTGTTCGCAACGTCGCGTCTCTTCAGTCGCTATGTTTTTGTCCAGTCCCGGCCAATCACGCTCTGGTGCGCGGTCGACTCGCGGAGATCTCGCGAGAAAGATTGTCGAGTCGTAAACTGAACTGCCGCGAAGAGACGAGTCTCGGTCGCGAGTACCTGGCTTTTCCATCGCGTGTTCCTCGAAGAAGCTGGATTGAGATAAGGAAGAGAATTCACGAATTCGGCAAACCATCGAGCAATCTGATAAGCGGCTCTGGAATTCGGAAATAACGTAAACTATTTACCGATGAGTTTCGGAATGCGTCGACGAGGAACGGAACTACTCCACGAGCATTCGCGATAACGGACGATTTTAAACAATGATATTTTATCGTATTCTCACGATATAAAGGTAATTCAATAAATTGAATTATGCGAAATGTCCGAAAGATTCTTACAGTTATTAAAGAAAAAAAATTAAATTCTGTTTGCAGCGATTCGATACTTGGAGTTATCAACGCATTTCGAAAAATACTTTTATATAAAGATGTTCGTTAGTCGAGTTGAATTATCTATATCGCTCTATTGGCCAATTAAATATAAAATTTTCCGTCCGATTAGTTAAGTAAAAAAACTCCAGGCACTGGTCACTGCAGGCTGTCATACCGCAATCATAACGTGATTAAATGGGAAATTTTAGATTAACAAAAATCACTGTGCCCCACACAAATACTCGTGGCAGATCTTATTTCTTATTCTATTTGTTACAATTGCAATTAAAAAATATGATGTTTATCTCTCCGTAATCAAGACAATATTAATTTGCTTTTGCTCTGAATCAACATATGAGAATATACAACACAATTTTTGCTATCACACATTTATTTACACTATAAATATAAATTAATTCATTCTGTACAGATTAGAGAATGGAAGAGATTCGTATTTACATGGAAACATGATAAAATTGACAGCTCGTAAATAACAATACATTTAGATCACACGTCAATGCGGGCACAGAGTAGAGTGTGTCTCTTCTTCTTCTGCAGGTTTAAAGCCTTGTGTCCACAATGCTAGAAATCGCTCCGAGATCTCGGACAGAGAGAGAATTCACTAACCACATTTTGCCAACTGGCCGAATTCAAACATGATTTGTTAATTTTTTGTTTATTCGAGATCTCGGAGCGATTTCTAGGATTTCTGGATACAAGGTTAATTTCGCTCGAGCGATTGTTGATGTCATTTGATAATCTTCATGTGATGTATGTTATTATACATAAGCTTAGTTCAACTTTCCTTTAAAAATTGAAATTGTCAATAAATAATGATATTGAGTATAAATAACGTTAACGTTCTTTGGTCTCAAAAATACTTCAGACACGCTAACTTGATTTATCAATCATTTTCTAACATTTCATTATCCTCTAGAATTATCGTGTTGTGCCTTTCTAACAACGTCTCTTGACTCAGTGCAGGAACTTCTCGAGAAAATTCGCTGGTCGCCCATAGGAATAAATCCAACGTCTGCTCTGTGCACTCCGCTATGAATCTCACGAACGGTCGAACATCTCCGGCATTGGCTAGCTGTAGGTACTCGTAATACTTATGGCGATGCTGCTTGTGGATAATGACAGGCGGATACCCGGCTTGCATGAGAATCATGTTCATGAGCAGGCGGGACGTTCTGCCGTTTCCATCGGTGAACGGATGTATGTGGACCAGTTTATAATGTGTCAGAGCTGCATACCTGTAAAGAAAGTTCTTCCGAATTAAAAGATATCCTTCGAATTCTCTCACAAAACCTTAAATAAAGATACAATAATTATACATATATAGACAATAAAAAAACAGCAAAGCAAATTTATGACATTGACATTACTGTTGTATTCAAATCGCGGCGTGCAAATAATAGCATGATAGCTACAAGAGCAGACATTACAATTAAATTGCCAAAAATTATATATATATGTATATAATAGATTATCTACTTTTTATTGTCTATAATTTTTGGCAATTTAATTTAATATATATTTATATTTAATATATATATAATTATATGTATATAATGACAAGAGAGATTATACTGCTTTTTTGTCTATCATTTTTGGCAATTTACAGTAATGTCTCCTCTTGTAGTTCTATTATATTATGTAGCTATTATATTATTATTTGCAAGCCGCGATTTGAATACAACAGTAATGTCAACGTCATACATTTTTGTTGTCTTTTTATTGTCTCTCTCTTTCTATTATATATATGATGCGTTTGAAATTCGCTCACCTCACGGGATGCATCCTGATGGCTTGTTCGCTGTTTAACCATGTTACAAACTGATCCATCAGAAAGTGTATATTACTGGGACCGGGAGGTATGTGGCCGCCAACGTACACCTGAGTCCTTCGAAACTGACCGCCTTCGACGGGATCTACATGTCCCAGCACACGCCTGTGTATCTCTAGTATATCCTTCATAGAAATGGACCCTACCCTGAAATATATTTACATGGATGGTAAATAATAAAAAAAGCAGCAACGAAAACGGTTTTTTTTCGTCACCTCTGCAAAATAGTTGTGCTGCAGAAGCTTACCTATTGACCAAGGTCGCATTGATATACTTCATGGCAGCATCTAATCCAATAATTTCATTGTGCTCGTCGATACTCTTCCCGGAGACCGCGACACGCGTCTCGACTATAGCTCTCGTCTGTGCCAGATTCATGGTGTTACCCTCGATCCCGACTGTGTGATAGATATGTTGGAAGTAAGCCTCCTTCTTGGCGCGTATCAATGCGGCATTGTTATCGGGTATGTTGGACAGCGTGTTCCTCTTCTCGTCGATGCGTCTGAGCATTGACCTATCGTGCTCCTCGACCACACGAGCCGTCCTCCGACTGTTTATCAGAGCACCCTTGTGATCCGGCCCATAAGTCAAAGCGCGTACGTAAAACTCATTGGCCTTTATCACATTGTTCTGAGTGTGCTCCACAAATTCCCCATAATGATTCAGAATGTCTGGATGACAGGGTGCCAATGCTAACGCGTGCTGAAACAATTTTACAGCTTTCTCCTGCTTCCCGGACAACTTCATGTCCAGAGCCAGGTGCAGAGATGCCAGGGCCTCCGTCGTCGTCGCGGTAGACTGGACCTTATCAAGTCCGGTGTTGGCCTGCGAAATGGTGAACGTGTAATCATCGTAGACATTCAACACGCCCTCCGAGGAAAGCGGCACGAATATGGAACGGCCATTGAGAAATTCCTCCTCTGGAAAAAGAGACAACAAAACAAACATTGACATTGCCGTTGTATTCGGAGTCGCAAAATGACAGCTACAAGACGAAGGAGATATTATGTGGATTAGATTGCCAGAAATGGTACGCAATAAGAAGTAGACAGTCTCTCTCTCTCTCGTTGGAAAAAGCAGACACGTCAGCCGGCAGCTCACCCGTAGAATCGACGAACCACACATTCATGTATTTCGACAGCAACATACTGATGACAGTTATGACGATCCCAAAAACGAACACGAGGGCGATAAGCAGTTTCGGTGTCATATCGTCGGTGGAGTCATCCGTGGCGACATCCTTCGCCTTCACGTGAGAGGTCTTGCTATCATGTGCGTAATAATTGTGAAAGGACGCCGGCAGCATCTTCCCTCGCGACGACTCTCGACGTTCTCGCTCCGGACGGCAAAGCGTGACATGCTTGTCAACCGTGTCATCCGCTCGTTACATACGCGCACGTCGTGCACCCATGTGACGCAACGCCGCGGTGTCGCGCTCGTCTCCCTCGCCGTCAACAGCGCCAGCCGACACGACGCGTCCATGTGGTTCGTCCCGATTGGCCGGCGCGGCGCCCGGACGTTTCCGCGAGTTCAAAAGGCCCATCATATAAATGTCCATTTCTACCAATGTAGACATTATAATTTTATAATCACGGTTTTATTTACTTTTTATCTTTTTCCTATTCTTAAAAGTAGAAAAAGATACAGAGTAAGTTGAACTTGGATTAAAGTTAATCTACATTGGTAGAAATATATGTATGTCCACCAATGTAGATTAACTTTAATCACGGTTTTATTTACTTTATATCTTTTTTCAATTCTTAAAAGTAGAAAAAGATACAGAGTAAGTTGAACCTGAATTAAAGTTAATCTACGTTGGTAGAAATATATGTCCACCAATGTAGATTAACTTTAATTACGATTTTATTTACTTTTTATCTTTTTCCAATTCTTAATTAAAAGTAGAAAAAGATACAAAGTAAGTTGAACCTGAATTAAAGTTAATCTACGTTGGTAGAAATAGACACGAACGCAACATTCGCACGATCGAAATCTGCGACGCGACGCTTTTCCGTTGTGTCGGTAATTTTTCGCTCGTCGATACACGTACCGACCGACGCGGTGTGCATCTCGCGTTTCTAACGCGTTCCGCGAGTCTTCCCTCCCCCCACTCCTCCCAGTTTGAAACTGGCCGGCCTTTAGTCTCTGACCCATCGCGCGCTCGTCAAGCGCGTCCTCCTTGCTCGGAGCGTAAGTATATGCCGTCGAATCCAAAAAATACGACGGCTGTATGATTGTATGCACGATCGAAACGTGCTGAAGTCTATGATTCCCCTCTCCTTGCAGCTCGAGCGTAGCGAGCGCGGCGTTTGGCGTCTATCTCGCGAACGGGAGCTGAACGGCACTCAAAATGGTCGAAAAGCGCGTGGCGTCGATCGGCGACGCGGAACATCGGGGACGAATCTTAGGTACTAATTAATTGACATGTATTATTGCAATTATTGTTATATGATTATTGCCCAGTGCTGATGTATTGTATGATATTATATATGAGATGACTTGCGTAGATTACAGGATCGAGATTTTTACTGATAAGCGAAATATATATATATGTTGTACAGGAGGATTTTTATACTGATAAGCGAGACATGTTACAAGATGTCGCGTCCACTTGAGCTTTTATTATAGCCATATCACTGCACGCGAAAAACAATACAAAATAACTTTACAACGGACAGTCGTTAAACGAATCCAATTTGGAGCGATTCTTGATATAGGGACTGCATGCGAGCAATTTAACGTGATTGACATTCAATCTCGATATAGACACGTGTACTTTCGCCGGTTTTTCCATTCGCTCATGGAGAACGAAGCGCCACTATTTTTTACGTTTCGTTTTGAAGATGCTTTTAGTTTCACGTATCCCTTCTAATTCTCGCGCTTCCGGTTCGACATCGCCACGGTGGAGCAAGTATTTTTTTATGGAAACTCTCCTGAAAAATAGAATCGAAATAAAACGTCGCATATAAATATTGATATTGTAGATCGATTTAATTTGATCGTAAATACTTTGTCAGCATTATTTTTCTGTAAGCAACACACTTATTATAGGCATTTGCTTAGAGAAATAATTTTATATCTTATTCATTTTTCGATTTTTGAAAATTTGGATTCTTACTTTAATTCGCGAAGCAGGCACGCTTTCGCTACTAACACGCGAATAGGTTTGCAAAGTCGAAGAGCTGGGTATTATTTCGCAGTCCGCTTTGCAGCTTCTAGAGACACAGCCTTTTTTCTCTATTTTTTTGGAAATACTGCAAGGTGTAGAATTTCTTGATTTCCCCGTCTCGTCTCTATTTATTTATTTACAACCAAAGGAATTAATATAATAACTATAAATTTAATATGTGGCTGATACGAGCCTAAGCCGCAAATGTATGTACGTGCAATAAAAAATTTCAAGTATTTGTCTTTTATATAATACAATTCAACTGTTCGAAGAATTCAGAGTACGAAAATAAAAAAAAGGAAAAAAAGAGATTCAAGTTTTATTGCATGTGCACATCTTAAGCTTGTATTGGTCTTTATATTAAATATATTTTTTTATATAAAAACGAGTTAATTTTATTCATAATTAATGTATGTCTATTGTGTATGTAAAAATTCTACTTTTAGCGTTCTATCGTGTAATACCTGTTCGATCGTCGATCCGAAACCTTATCGCCTTGATTTTTTATAATTTGCGGCACACGACACTGCTGGGGCGATGAGGACGTGCCCGTGGTATCGTAACGAGTCCTCTGAAAAGGACGAGAAATTGACTACAATGATTAAAGGGACCCCGTGTGATCGACGTGATCGTAATCGTTGGGATCGGGGATGTGGGGCAAAAGGAAGTCGAATTTTACGTAATTTCTCCGTTCCTCGGAAGAGCGATTTTCGTTTCCGGAGCGGCATCGCCAGTTCCACGTCGTGGAACCGTGTAATGAGGATTTCTTGACCGATCGATCTTGCACCTGGCCGCGTCGCATGACGATTATGCGATCGGTATTGTCAGAGTTCCCGGATGTACCGTTTCGTAAATTATCTTTCACCGTTCTGTATCAATATAGTAAAGGAACACCTTCATGCTATTGAATAGCTTCGCATAAATATATATTACTTGCATATATAGAGAACTTTTTCTCTTTATACGTAAAAGAAATTATTTCTTTTTCGCCGATGGAAGATGTTTTAATTCATCATTATTTAATATAACAAAGTATCACAATATATATAAAATAATAAAATGAATAAGTCCGTTATCAAAAAAAATCTGCAATTAAGATTCATTAAACTTTAAATTTTATTTAGTTTTATATATTCTGCTGGATTTTATTTCTCTTTCTAAAAGTGATACTGATTATGCATTTTGAGCTATAACGTAATCATATATTTATATGTTTAATTATCACCTGATAGTCGTGGCCGACGATGAAATGTCTTCCGTTCGACACGTAGAATTTCGAAGAAGTCGCGGTACTAGATGATAAACAGCAGCGGCCGCTTGCTGCAATTTGTGCTCTCTGTGGAAAATAAAAGAGACACAAGCTCGGATATGAATAAATTATAACGCGAAAGAAACTCGTAAAATGTCTCCTCCCTTAATTGGCGCACTTACTTAATATTATACATGCCGCCAATTTCTCCGTACTTTCGTCTCATTATTTCAGCCTCGACAGCAGCCGTGGTTGTTCGCATTGCCGTCGCGATCTCGTTCACTATCTACAATAATCAGCGATGCAATCACCTTGCACGAGTATTTCGTATGGCGTTACTAATTGGCGCATATGTTATAGCCGACCAAAAAACCGCAGAATAAATGCGGCAGTAAAATTGAAAATTCACTGCATAATAACGCAGGACGTACAGCCAGCAATGAAAATAAGGGGGTTTGTTAATATTGAAAATTTTACCACGAATAATAACACCATGGGCTTGTTAAAACTGAAAAATTTACCATGAACACAGCGGAAGCATTTTCAGGGAAGCAAATTAAAAAGATTTGAAATGTGCGGTTAAAAAAAAAATCATTATTAAAACGTATCAAAGTTTGAAAAAATGGTTCTTTTCTCTCGAGAATAATGTAAAAAATATTTAAAAAATAGAGAATTTAAAAAATCGCGAAAGTAATATACGCCATATTTTCTATGCATGTTCTTCTTCAAATTCCACAATTATATAATCGAGGATTCTAAATATTGTATATATTACCGTGACATGATTGGAGACGTTTAAGTCGTCTTCTGAGTGAAAATGAAAATTGCTCTTCGAGGTAGCGAGGATCCAAGGATGGTGAAGAATTTCTCGAATTGTGATCCTCTCGCGAACCGATGGAACGAGCAGGCGGTTTATCAGATTCCTACATTCGATCGATGTTTGATACATGGCTTTTTCCTGAATCGCCGTCAAGCCCCTGTTGATCTGGATCATTAGCCTCCGTCGACGTTCCTCCGACGACGTCCATTCGTCGCGGGGACACAGGAACGGAAGTCGACCGATGGTCATTCCATACAAAACGACTCCTCTGCTTGCCATAATATAATATATTACACAACGCGTTTATAGACATTGTCAAAAAGTGTTTTTATATGTTTAGCAATTAAAGTGTGTAACACGCAACTGCCCAATTTATTTCCTGATGCTATACGACTTCTAAATTATTTAAAGAAAAATCTTAATACGATAAATTTTGCATTTTTGCTTACAGGCTCCACAAATCCACTTCCGGCCCGTATCGTTTACCTACGACAAAGAGCTCGGGAGCAGCATACTCCGGAGATCCGCAGTGCGTTCGCAGAGGATCGTCGCTGGCGTAAATATTGCTGAGACCAAAATCTACGATCGTGATAAACATTTGTCATCAAATCGGTGAGTTTTCTTTATCAAGTTTTAACCTTCGATTGTTATCAAAGCTAAATCGCGTGATTATCGCAATCTTAATATAAATATAAATTTATACAGTAAAATAAATTTAAAGACAAAACTGTATATTTTATTTTCTTCGTTTTCAAAAACAGAAAATGTCTGTAAAATTAAGAAGAATACTTTGCATTCTATTTTGATATTTTTGTCCACCGAGGGATCACACATGCCATAGCAATATACATATAGCAAATAGCAATCGAAGGTCATTAAGAATAACGGGCATTATGTTTCTGCGTAATTATATAAATTGCGGCCAATTTCATCGCAAGTGCAATTTTTTATGCGGAGCTCCGCCGAGCACAGGTGGATCTGATTTCACGCTCGAAAATCAAGCGTCACGCGAGCGGAAACATTATAGTTGCGATTTTCGCGGTGCACGCTAATCTACGCGGTTCGATCGATGGCGATTGCCACAATCGCCGCGACCATAATGTTCCCCAGTCCCGCGCGTTTTACGTCGACGTCCGTGTACACACGTCTGCCACTCACCCACTATCTTGATCTGTTCCTTACGTTCGTCCTGCAATACGATATTCTCCATTTTAAGATCCCTGCAACAGAATCGTAAAAATTAAAAGGTAGTTGGTCAACGCGCCTTCTTAAGAATAATAAAACAATTCAAAATGTAATATACTCTGCATCAAAAAAGATAATTTTTATATTCAAAACAAGCATTTACATATATACATTCTAAAACTAGTTAATTTTTATTTTGATGATAGACACTGGATGAACGTAAAATTCATTTTTTTTCGAAAGAAAATTTAAAGAAAGTTCATTTTTTGTTATAACACTTTATACAGAACTCAAACGTTAGATATTCAGATAAATAAATTTAGGTTTAAGGTATAAATCATTCAATTAATTCATTTCGAAAATTTTGGATTTAAATATATATCAAGGCTTCGCTTTTGGTTTATATTCCATTATTTTATATAATGTCTTGACATTTTAATTAAAAAAGCGAATGTCAATTTGGTTAAAAGATTTAAGAGTATAAGGATTGATATTTTTTGTTTCGCGGTCTGTTGTCTCGTTCCGATTTCACGATTACGATTTTTTCGGGATCTGCCGATAGAGTATAAGGATTACGCAGGCGAGATTGCAGGCGGGATGAATGCGAGAAAAAGTCCGCGGTGTATGCATATGCAATGCGTGTGCAGTTTGCACGATCACGTAGCGCGTTCGCGAGATTAACGCTCTCGGCGCAAGAACCCCGTGGCCCTGACCATCGCGCGAAGGTCTCTTTGCTCGTATCGCCGTCTACGAGCGCAGCTCGCGGACCTTGCAAATTGTCGTTTCGTCGGCATGACGGCCTCCCGGCCTCTCGATGATGTCGAGAATCCTCTCGTTTCTCGATCTCGTACCACTCTTGATGAGACGGAATGGAATGTATGTCTCCGAAATTTCACAACGCTCTCTCAACGTGGACTTATTTCTTATCCAGATGCAATTTTTCGCACCATAACGTTTGCAAGATTTGTATCATTTCTCCTCAAAGGCAAATTGCAGAGATAATTCTATATAACTATCGAATATAAATTGTATACAAACGAAAGCAATTTTCCATCTTTGTGATACTTTTTCTACGACTCAGCGACAATAGTGAAAAATAGTGTTAAAGAGGATTATCAAAAGGATTAGCGAAAGAATTTATAAATAAATAGAGAATGAAATTAGCTGCGAAAATATTCTGTGTATAGATGTAAGAAAATAATGGCACGTTTCGTAGAATTGGTCTCCAATTGCGGGGGTTACAAGCTACGAGGAGGTGATATCGAAACTTCTGGCTAAGGCCAGCTGTCATCGGGATCAGGCGGCAACGGCCCTGTGTATAGCTTATCCGTGGCAGAGACCTTGGGACCTTGAAACACATCATTAAAATCGCATCGCCAGCGCGCGCGCGCGATGCGAGAGTGGAGTCAGTATGCGCTTTGGGTGTCGCTAATAAGTAATAAAAGAGGAGACTCGCTCCACTCGGAACACGTGCCCGCGGCGAGGTTAATACCGTCACGGGATGCAAGGCGCTCTCTCGAGCGGGGTCGTTACTCGTTGGCGGAATCTAGAACGTCCGCAGCATTTTTCTTTATTCTCCCCCCTCCCGCCCCTCGCCCCTCGCGGTTGGCCACCTTCCGTCGAATCTCGAATCGTCCGAATCCCGCGAACGAATTCCCCCCGAACGTTCACCCGAGGAAAAAGAAAAACACGATGTAACAAAACCGATGACCGGTTCCTCCGAGCAGTTTAGCAATGTTAATTTGATCTATGTCTGTTCTTTCTGTTTATTCTCAGTTGAAACCTTTGACTTTCGATTAATAATTGTATATGCAAAGACAATTATCTCTAATCAATAACACGATAACAATAAAAGTGTTGGGAAAAGCAGGAGATAGAAATTTTTTAAACAGGGTAGAAATTTACAATAGTGATTGGCACCAATCTTACTTTTTTCCCCAAAAAATATAAAAATATCAGATGCGTCTATATATAATTGGTACTTCACTGGAAAGTTCAACAAGTATAAAATTTTAAAAAACGGTGAACGTAATCCATAATTAGTACTATCATTAAACGTTTAATTCATGTGGAAATATCAATTTTATATTTTTCTTCGAAACGATTTTAAAAATTCACGGAACAAGTAACTAACGAGAAAATCAATGCAGTTAATTAATGTCTACGCGTTGTAAAATCATGCAGGATATTATGTAATTAAATCGGTGGATCTTCTTGTAATCAGCATTTCACATTATTAATCCTAAAATGGAAGTAAGCCTAAAAATGCGATACGTTAAAGCGTAACGAGATACCGAGGAGGAAGGTATCCTATACTCCGATAATCAAAGCACAGTGTATATACGGTACTCTAATATTGAATCGTGAATATCGCCGGTTTCGAGCGGATGTGCCCGAGCGTGGCCTCCGAGCGATGCGTTTCTGCTGCATCCTCGACTCTGCTGCGGGATAATAGTCGAAACGACCCTGAAGCCGAGGCCACGGTTGTTCGTTGGCCTGGGCGATTACGTTTCTTTTCCATCGTCTCGTAGAAGCCGCGCTCGGCGCGGTGCGACGCGGCGCGGCGCGGCGGCGGCAGCGCGCGTATACCTGGGAACGCGCGCGTGCGTTCGCGCGACGAACTTTCCGCGCGACAGTTTCGCGCGAGGAGATCCGATTAAAGCTCGCGCTTGTCCCGTTCGCAATCGCGCGAGCATAATTGCCGGCGTAAAGCGACAGGTGGTCTCGCGGGCCTCCTGACAGAGTGGGACGGAGAGTGAGAGAGAGAGAGAGAGAGAGAGAGAGAGAAAACAAGATGCAAAACAAAAAGCGCCGAGATAGCGTCCCGCACGCCCGGCGCCGTTAACGATCACGTCCCTTCTCTCGCCACCTCCTCTCGCTCTGAAAATAAACTCGCGCCAGCCCGTGACAAAAGTGATCGATGAACACGGCGATCCAGATATTCCTGGTGATCCACGGACCAACGGCGGGAGATGAGTTCGCGTAATGTAAGATGGAGCCACGAGTTGCATCCGAAGGCGATTGCGTTTCGCGCAGCGTTCTCCACAGTTGCGCAGATAAGAATTCTCCTTTTTGTTATAAATAAAAGGCGAAAACTTTTGAGGGAGATTTTCGTTCTTCAGTTTTTCGATATACTTTGTTTCGTCATAAATAACATTTATTTAATTACATTTATTAATATTTTATAACATCTCGAAAATGATCGCGTTAAATTTTATTGATACTTTGTAGGATTTATTGTTAATTGACAGTTATCTTTTACATGTCGTTGGACAAAGTGATGCATCATCTACCGTACACGTTCTCACAGAGAACGCATTCACCTCCTCGCGCTCGTAAATGCTCGCGCGCGCGCGCGTTCGATGCACCCGCTCCGACTCTCGGATGCGCGCATCCGTAAGTACTTAAATTTAATTGCCGGCCATGACCGTTACATCGCGGTAGTTATTTCGGTCTTAATAACCCGGGTCCACTGAGGAGCTGTCGCTCGCGCAGTTGAGCGGGGTCATGTCCGTGTTACGAGTCGCAAAATCGCCGCGCGGCGACGAGATCCGTGCGGTGCGCAAGGTCGAAAAACGCGCGAAATCGTGAGTGGAACAGCAAGCGAACGATTACCAGCGCTCCTTCCGCGCGCATAAATATTCGGCACGAGGCGCCGCATATTGATACGCGCGTCCCAGCGCCGCAAAATAATAGGTAACGAGAGATATTTGGGATGCGATGCTCGAGGCGAGGTTTTAATAAACCGTCCAACGCGCGCACCCGGGACGATAAACCGTGTATGATAAATCGGGCCGCGCGCGGGATGCTTGCGGAAATTAATTCGGTCAGTTTTCGGCGGATAAGTAAACCGCGTAAACACGGTCTATTCGTGTAAACTGCAGCGTTTGTGCAGTTGTTGCACACAGTTTGCCGTTTGCCTCAGAGAAACGTATCTCAATTCAATTGCAACGATAAGTCCTTTGGAGAGGACTTTGGGAGTAAGTTTTTCTCGAGCGAAAGCCTTAGGAAAAGTCTCGAGATCGCTCGCTGACCTTTTAATAATTATGAATTAGAGATTTGGAAAGCACGGACGACTTTATTAGTCATTATGAGAATTATGCAAGTGCGTTTGTACATGGAGAGAATTTTTTTTTAAATTTACCCTGCAAATCATGTTAATTATGAGACAATATAGTATTTAGGCAAATTTTACTGTGCACTATAAGATTTCGCAGTAAAATTTATTGTAGTGCACAGTAAAATTTACCTAAATACTATATTGTCTCACAATTAACATGATTTTCAGGGTAAATTTTAAAAGAAAATTCTCTCCGTGTAACATTGAGATTTCAGTACGTTTTTATTTCGAGCAGACCAGATTTTGTTTTACTCGACAAGCCATGCGAAAGAATACGCTTCCAAAGATCGACGAACTTACGAAATATTCTACATGCATCGATGAATCTGCGCCGCGACCGGGCATAACGATGAATTTCGTGACGACGACGATGACGGCGACGACGACGAGGTTTCGCGTCCGCGCGCCACGCTGCGCCGCGCCGGTTCGTCGACCGTAACCCGCGATCGTCCGACGCGTATCTCTTATTTTTCCAGCTGGCACCCCGCGCCGATTCTGTGCCGCAGACAACGAGAACAAAACGGGTTTGCGGCTTATCTCGTCTTAATACGCGTCGTTTATCAGCGACGTCGATATATGCGAGCGCGGCGTGTTTACCGGCGTGAACGATGACGCGATCTTTTCGGTGCCGAGTGTCAGTGGCACCTGGCCGTGCTCGAACTTTGCTCGAAGACGCTCACTCGCGGCTGTTGACTCTTTCATTGCTAAAATAAATACATATACACTGAGAGAAAACGGTATAAATTGAAAACATATTTCTTGATTCAATATACGGCGGTCACGGGCTGTCGAACAGTTATTTGTTAATTTACAAAAATATTATGTTAATGCTGCTGACTGTTTAACTCATAAAAACATAATTGAGCTAAAGAGAAATCGTCAATAAAACGCATTTAATTATATCAACAACTTTTT